ACAAATCTGCAAGTGCGCTGGCACAGGCAACAGCAAGCTGAATGTTGCGAAACAGGAGCTGGCTTACGTCTTGTCAAACCCGATTCCATGGGTGAGGAATTGCACGGTTGGATCTTGTCCGAAGCCAGTGTCTGGCTGACAGAACTTGACACTGATGTCGTATGTTCTGTCAATCGTTCGATACCCAAGTAAGACCTCATTGGAGAAATTGCCTCCAGGGTTTGTGAAGTTTGCAAAGAAGGTCGTGGCATCGTGGTTGTCCTGTAAGGTAGGAACATTGAAAGCCCCATTGCGAGCACATAGGGTGACTGGGACTGAGAAGTTCTGGCAGTGCTTCGCTACTACCGAGCTAGCAAGAAGGGCGGAGGCCACCAATGATGGAAGATACATTGTAAGTCGTAGGAGCAATGAGCCTTTGAGAAGACGCGGCGGAGGGAAGAGAAGGTCTGACAATGCACAAGACTGGGAGGAAAGAATGGTAGAAGTTGCGTGGGAAGAGTGCGGAGGAGGGATTCAACAGGAGAGTAAATGTGGGGAAGAAGTATTTGAAGGGAAAGAAGCCGTTGTGATGTTTACCTATCGAGTTAGCGGTTTAGCTACCATCTTGAACACATTCGCGTCATTCACTACCGTCCTCTTGCAGCAGATCTCCCCGTCACCTTATCAATGACCGTGGTGATTCACGGGATAGTCTCTCTCCCGACTATGGTGCAGCCATAAGGATTGGACGGAAACATCGACACAGACAAGCGAGCCCTTGAGTCGCTTCGTCCATCACCTGTGGGATGTGATAGGCTCGCCCCGCGACTCAAATATGGGAAGTGGTATGGTCAGGCCTGAGCTGGGTTACATCTCCCAACGTGAGTGATTTGTGGGGCTGCCGGCATATGCTGCCTGCTCCTTAGGCAAAGCATCAGCATTTTCCGCCATAGCTGAGGTCACGCTTCGCCGCAGCAACGTCGTTTCGCATGTATGCGTACCCTCGGAGAGCGAGTGGAGAAGCCTTTGTTCCGCAGATTTTCGTCTGCCGTCGAGAAATTCGACCCGAGCGAAGGCTTGAACATGTTGCTCGCTGGGTGCGCTGAAGAATGGAAAGGGAATCTGCACCGGGTCGGAGGATGGCAAATGGTCAAGGCCCCTGCAGGCCTGCGGGCCATTCCCTCTACTGCAAGCATGAAGATAGAATTAGGAATGGCGCGAGTTTGATAGCTGCAATATGCGAGTCATAAAGCGATATCGCAGCAGCATTAATGTAGGTACATTACATACCTACATAACATGCAGATTCACTCGTTAGTATTTGCCTATTTTTATTTATTATTGATGATGATGATGACGATGATGATGATGATGATCATGTCCTTTGTCAAGAAACAACCTTGAGAAGAAGATGCCAGAGATTAAACTTTCAAGCTAACTCTGAGCAATCTGACACCTGCCTTGAGCCGCGAGTACCAAGCGTTTGACAGATATCCTATCGAGCCACATGCCTGTAATCATTAACCCACTGAGCAATGTCCACCTCGACAGACATACAACTACCTGTCGGCAGTAGGCAGCTGGTTATTAAGGATACTATCTCAAGCTTGGACTTTGGGGACAGGAAGTCATACGCTTAGTGCTTAGTTACTAGCTGGCCAACAAGAGCAGGCCAAACGTTACCAAAGGCACACCTCGCCTTGTTGGGAGAAGAATCCTGGCCTCGCTGGAGGGCTCCGTTACCATTACCGTTACCGTTACCGTCGTCAGTTGCTTGTTCCAGCTGTCGCTTAACTGATCAATGTCGGCCTGTCTTTAATGTCCGAGCCCCACCATTCCAATCCTATCCTACCTTCCTCTCCAATCTGAGCTTAGTCTGGATCAGCAAAACAGATTCGAGCCTCCAGGGAGTCACTTTTCTGTGTTCCCGGGCTGCAAGTCATTCTAAGTCGACTGTCACCCATCCCATGCACGACGGTAAATGAAAATTCAAGGGAACGAGGTTCCAGAATGTTAGAAAGTCTGTGCCAGAACGGATACCCCCACTGGCCATTGCCTCGGGAAAAGGCGTCATGCAGCAAGCGATGAAGCGACTGTTCCTGAGAAGAAGCCACATGGAGACCCTCAACTTCAAAGATAACGGTGATATATAGCTATGGCCGACGATGTTGCATCTTCGCTCTGTGGTAGCTCTTTGCGAACGGCGAAGCACGTCGTTCCACAGGGAGCACGTCTCACGTCTCCATGGAATCAAGCTGTCTGGCTGGCTCTCCCTGAATACCCTGCTGGCTCAGAAGCGAGAATCAGGAGAACAGGCGAGCATATGCATGCACGTACGCACGCATGCACACGCATCGGTCCTGGTCTCTTGGCGTGGAGGAGCAGTATCTTGACGCAAATGCTTGTACCTATCTGCTTCTGCTCGTAGCCGGACGAAGCATTGATTACTTTCCGGAAGACGTCTTGCTCGCCACGAGGAGCCCTCGGAGTTAATGCTGACGGCCCCTTTTATCGATCCCGGAGCTAAGTGTGTGGGGCACGATTAATTCTCCTAGTACTAGTACCTCCACATAGGTCATAGACTTTCCACACTCGTAGACGTAGAGATGTGTGGGCAAGCGGTCATACGATTGCAAGCCCACAACTTGTATCAGACATAAATTACTGTTTAGTGACGGACTACAAAGTCATCACCTTTTGGTCTAATCGTAACGATTACTCAACCCGTCCCTTTTCTCATGGAGTCATAGGTGCCGTAATCTATGGATGTTCATCCCTGTGTTCAACGTGGTCCGTGCCACCAGATGGATGCCCATTTTCTCCTTTCGCGCCGTTCAGCCTGAAATGCTAAGAACTTCGAGCTGAATCTTCCTACTCCATCGTCCATCATGCCAACAACGGGGGCTTGCGATCCTCAAATCTACCAACATCCTCCCTGAATACCATGCCAACGTCTCATGCCACGAATATAAGAACCACAGCTTCTGCACGTCCCATTTCGAACGTTGCCATTCTCGGACGCAGTCGCCATTCAGCACGCAGAATCTTATAAATCCATCTGTCAAGCCTGCGGAGGATCAAGATCCCTACTGAGGGTACTTGATCCCCCAGCCATCATCCTTTGTGTTTTCAATGCCCTCCGAGACTGTCTGCGTTATCATTCGCTAGCATCTGGAGTGAACTTGACGCCGCCCGGGAGGCTTTGAAGCCATGTGTGAGCATGCCACTTCCATGCCACTTCTCACCCAAAGACCACGCCTAATGGTCTTCTCTCCACAGGCTTCATACGCATTAACCCCTCTATCGCCCCTCTCAACCCGTACGTACATGTCGGAGAAGACCTTCCTCTTTGCTACTGAAAATTGAGTCGCAAGACATGTTCGGGAGCAAATTGCCCTGTTCCGCTCCCGAGACCTGTCTTACAACTCAATCATCTACCATGAAGAAGCAACGCTGATCCCGAAATGTGCGTAGACCAGGCGCCGCCCCGACCCTGACGACCATCTACGACGAAGCCGCCGCCACCATTCAAACCTCCTCCGCGACCACGTCCCCGTCAAATTCCCTCTCCAAGGAACCACCCACACCCATGCAGAACTCCAAGCGCCGAATGAGATCAAATCCGTTCCGTGTGAAGGCCGCGAAAGAGGGTGTGGTAGGCACGGGGAAGGAGAAGAGGAGGACACAGACCATAGCGGATAGTTTGGATCTCGGCGGCGATCTGCAGATGGATGCGGAGAATGGTGGGAGCAGGGTGGTCGGTGAGGGCGATGAAATTTTAGTTAGGAGGAAAACCGTCGCGACGGAGATAGGGTCGGGATCGGTCCCCTGAACAGGCGTTTGAGCCATGGAGAAGCCAGAAAAGTTGTCTTACACTTTTGGTATCGGGTGGGTGCGAGGTACGTACATCTCGGAGCCGACCCTTCCCATTCGGTAGCAAAAGGCAGGCCACAGGCCATCGTTCAATGCCAGAATACTCCCCTGCTCTTTCCAGAACTCTCCGTCTTTTTTTCTCTCTCTTTCCTTTTACTTACTTCCAACCGACCCCCCACATCCCAACAGCGAACGCATCTTCCCACCCTCTCCTCTAATCCAAACTCATCTCGGTCTCCCCCCCCCAGAAAAAGAAAACCGCAACCCCTTCCCCCCTCCCCCAGCCCCAGCCAACCAACCGCATCCCATCCCACCCCATCCCATCCCACACCATCCCACCCCATCCCATCCCATCCCATCCCATCCCATCCCATCCCATCCCACCCCATCCCATCCCACACCAACCTCACACCATCCCATCCCATCCCATCCCCTATCATCCCCTATCATCTACCTACCTACCTACCTACCTACCTACCTATCTATCTACCCACCCATCTAGCACATGCACCACACCACGGTCATCCGTCCGTGCACCACACCACATCATCCATCCGTGCCAGCCCGCCCCTTCTTCCCACGTGAACGAGACAGACCACCGTGGAGGGGGGGGGGTTGGGATGGCATGGTTCCTGTTTAAGAAGTTGGAAAGAGAATGGGTATTGTTGAGGCGTGCTGTGAGATCGCGTGGTACATTTTTGAGGGGAGGGGGGAGGGGGGCGGGGAGGCGGGGAGGTCTGCGTCGTCTGTATTGAAGCTGTCGGAGTGTTTGGTAGAGGGGGGATTTCGTCAAGCACTACGGGAGCGAGAGCATGGTTGGGTACCTTACTTTCTTTTCCGATGCTGAGGTCGGCTTGATTTTTTTCAATCCGACAACGGGTTGACGTTCACATACATGAGAGTCATGAGGTCTGCGGCTTTGGGGGACACTTGTCATGTTTGCATTAACATTTGTAAATTGATTTACTGAGAGAAGTATATAGTCGAATGAAAAGAGCTTTTTGAAAATTGGCACAGGAACTTGGCCAACAACAGATGATGAGTGCTGGGCCTCGAATCGCAAGTCGTGTCAGTGTATGGTCGCGTCTCGGTTAGCAAAGAGACCCATGGTAAAATGCAGCGCAATGTCAGACGGCAGCACCAAAGCCCTAGATACCGCCTCCTCCGAACCCTTCGAGGCGCCTTCCAAACTCATTACCCTCCCCCCCAATCTCCGGAGGGTTCAGATTGAACGGCATAAACCACGCACTCGTCTGCAAATCACCCATGTACCCACCCGAACCCAGCATCTGCTGTTGCGTCTGCGGTGACAGATCCAGTGGATTATCCCACATCGAAGTGGCCGGATCGTTCAAGCCTTGCTGGTTGCTTTGGGGATCTTGAAGGCCACTGGTCATTGCGCTGAGGGCAGAGGCAGAAGAAGAGCCAGTGGGATCGTTGCCTGCATAAGCGCCGTAGACGAGGTGGCGGTCGAGCTGGGGAAGGAGGGCCGTGTTGGCGGGAGTGGAGAGAGGGAGCATGTCGTAGGCTTGAGGGAAGGAGTTGGAGCAGGGTTGGGGGTAGAGCTGAGGTGGGTGGCCGACAAAAGCGGAGGGATCCATATGTGGCTGCGACATGGGGAGGGGAAGCATGCCTTGTTGGGTAGCATTGGTATGGAAATCTGGTTGTTGGAGCCGCTGCTGGGGTAGACGATCCTCTGGTTGCGAAGCGATCTTGGCGCTTTTCTTGCCGGACTTTCGAGGCTGGGTTGAGCGAGAGGGTGGCGACTGGGTGTGGAAGAAGTCTTCCACGCTTTGGAGGTCTTTTCCGTGACTTAACGTGACATCGCTGTTGGGTTCCTTCTTGATCTGGACCGCGGGATCCTGGTAATCTGTCTCTGAGACGCCGTGAGGATACTTCTGAAACCAGTCTCCATACTGAAAGATAGTATCATCTTGACTTGCCATCTCACTCGATCCTTTCTGGGACGCATCCGCATGCTGACGGTATATGTCCATAAGATTTTCGGTCATAAAGTGGAACATTCCCCAATGCTTCTTCATCTTGCCCAAATATTTGAAGTTGCTGGCAAGATGTTGCTTGCACGACGCCTCGATGGATTGTTTTTTGGAGAAGATACCCCATACATGTATGGTGCTCGACATGAAAGCACAATAACCAAGGAACGGCGCAACCGCATGATGTTCTGTAGCGTCGTTGATCAAAACCGATATCTGGCTAGCCGCGTCAAGAGCTGCCGGCGCTGCTTCGGCAAGAAAGGATATTGGCATCTCCTTTGGATTTCTTCCTCCCGGGGCAGTGGGTATGGCAAAGCGGTGTAGAAACAATACCACCTGATGTGAAGCTATATGCATAAAGAGGAACTGATTCCCTAGTTTCTCAGCGGCGTGGTTCTTCAGGTTTTCACGAGTATTTTGAAGTTCCGCAGGCAATGATGTCTTGAAGTCGCTGGCTTGTCTTCTGAGCTCAGCATATTGGGATTTGGTGTCCCAGATAGGGTATTCATCCCTCTCTTTCCCTCCCATGTTCAAGTATTTGATGATGCGACCCCATAGGACTATTACGCGGATCATATACGCGGCTACTCCCATGTTGCCTTGAGGGTCAGACAGTTGACCAGTGTCACTCTTCACAGGATTTGGCACTCGACCGTCCAGACTTTGGGTGGGACCGGGAATCTCCATTTGAAAGTTGGATTCTTTGACAGGCAGCTGCACCTTTATGATATCTTCATCGGCAAACATGGGTCGCTCAGTCCCTGAGGATGTGAACCGATCCATGAGAAAGCAGGCCCACATAGTCCTCCTCCTTATTTCCCTATCAGTGAAACTAAGCTCCGACTTGTTCTCAGTCTTCCGTCCCAGCGGATCGTGATCCAGTTCTCGGTGAAGCTGAAGAGCATAAGCCATTCTTGTGGCCATGCCGCCAAGCATCCAGCTTCTTCCACCTTGGCATGTTCCAAATTCGTGAAGACCAAGTAGCAGCAGTACAGTAAGAGTGGTAATATTCGGCTCATCGTAACGACGCAAGGCGATGTCGCGTGCTGGACCAGCCCAACTCTCGCCTCGCAAGAAGGCAGGTTCGGTGTTCAATTGAGGATGCGAAGAAAAGCGGGCAGATACCGCGCACACAGCAAGGATGAGGACAGGAGGCAACGTGCCAGCACTATCGAATTGTTAGCGAAGTAAATGCAAAACGATAGGAGGGGGGTATCGCGCACCGTAACCTGCGCATATAACTTGGCTTGTGTAAAAGATGATATGATTGCCCGTACAGATTGTCAAAGAAAACTTGTGATAGATGGTCCTGGAGTTCTGGTGTAGGCAAGTGCTCTGCACCTTCCGTGTTGACTTTGCTTTCATGATTACCTTGGCCCTTAGGTGGCTGTGCAGTCGGCTTTGAATCTGTCCACTCGTCCAGCTGTGGTCCAAAAGCCTCTTCGACACTCCTCTTCTTTCCACTGTTTGCTTGAGCAGCAGCAGAAGGTTTGATTATTGCCCTTGGTACTGCCTCAGATTCTTCCTTTGGAATTATCTTAATGACCCTTTCCTCCATTCTCTTGAGGCGCTTGTCCAACATTGCCATGTAGTCGGTTCTCGGTGCCGCTTTCCTTGTAGTAACTTTGTAGACACACGGTATCCGTGACCGCAGACAGTGCTTGCAAGCTGGCTTTTCACCAGAACATCGTATCTTCTTCCGCCGACAGGCAATGCAGGCCAATGGCAGTCTTTTGCGCTCTTTGCCCGCTTTGGTTTTGAGTTCGCTCCAGGGAGGTTTCTTGTCCGTCTCTTCTTTGGCTTCGCGCTGCCCCACATTCTCGTTGCTCGAGCGGTGTGTCCAGGATGCACGCCCATCCGACTGACGTTTTGTGTACTCTCGTGTGCTGACAGGGCTTGTGGGCTCGGATCCGTCTAGGCTACTGTTTCTGTGACTGTGCCCATTTCTTCCTGCAGCGTGGGAATTTGCTCGGTGACCTTTTTCAGACGTGTTCGAATCTCGCCCTTGAGACAATTCTGAAAATGAGTCCGTTCGTTGTTGATCGAATTGGGCCTGAAGTTCGTGTGAGGAGGGTATCTTTCCCTCAAAAGATCCATTGAAACTATGGTTCTGCTCTTGCGCACTGGCAGAGTGAAAAGGAGGCACGAAAGGAGGTGGATACGATTGACCGGATCCTGGACCCATCATTTGTGCCTGTGCATGTGTAGCGTCGAGGGCGTAGTTTTGAACCTCGGGCATGGCGAATCCACTGAGCGTCTGGGAGTTGCTTCGGGCGGAACGGGAGTGTTGCAACATGCTCTCTGCAGCAGCATACTCTTGAGCCTCTATCGATGGCCAACCTGGAGCGCTGGTGGACGCCATAGCGTCACAGACCTGATATTTGTGTGGTAGTGCTTCGCTCGGCGATACAGACGTTAGATTTGTAAATGATCGCCGATTCTTATGACGTGGGCGCCCAACATCAGGGACGGGCAAGCTGAAAAGGAAGGCAACTGATGAATGGTCGGTCAGATATTATGGTTACATTTTGAAAATCGCATACAAGAAAAGAGAAAAAGTATGGACGTCAAAGTAAAGACATTAATGCCCAGCGAAAAAAGGGCAATGTAAAGGGCTGAAGCGTGGTGTAATCTTGGTGGCGCAACTCTAACAAGCCGAGACCGCCAAGGCCAGAGTTTCTGGAGTCTGGAAGCCTGAGGGAAAGCGTCTCTTTTCTAATGTACCATAATCATACACAGCATCACATTCATGAGCGAAAAGGTGCCGGCAGAGTCTTCGTGAAGCCGGTCTTGCCAATACTTCTACAAACGCTGTAGCTACTCTACCAATAATCATAGAATGGCGTTCCAAATGCAACTCCAAACGCGACGCTGTACCATACAGAGCTGCAGTCTAGCTTTGCAAAACGGACATGGGTATCAATATTGCTTGAAAAACAGCCACGGAAACCACTAGCTTTTGCAAACATCCACGGCATCTTACCGTCCAACATGCTCTTTCTGTAGAATCTCTTTGATCCACCCTTCAACCAGTCCAGAGTTGCCCTTGACGAGCTCTGCACACTTATTCCTGACCATTTGCATCTTCTTGATCCGATGCTTTGCGGCGTCCTTCAGCACCCTTCCTATAACATCAAACTCAGTCTCATCCTTATCTTGTAGGTATACCGCGTCCTCCGGCAGATAGCTATACGCCGCCACTATCTCCTTGGTCGCAACCAATGGTGTGCCCCCAATCAGCCCAGCAGGTACGGTGCTGGAAGCCTTGCGATCGAGGTATTGGTCATTGGCGAAGGCGGGTAGGAGCGCGAAGGTGCGGGAGAGAATGGAGTAGTACTCGTCATAATCGAGCGACTCGTCGAAGCTGACGTGCGAGATCAGACCGCTTGGGACTTCAGGGTGAATCCCCTGGCCTAGCAGATGAAGGGTGACGTTCGAGTTCATGGTTCCGACTCTTTCCGATGATCTCGAGTCTATGAATTTTTGGAGGTGAGCAAAGATCGTTTCGTAATTCCGTCTTGTGGATTCATATAGGCCTTGGAGTCCAAACCCAAGCTCCCCTTTGTCTGCGTCGACGGCTGTGGGTAGTTTGGGGAGGTTGACTGGGAAGACTGGAGCAAAGGGTCTGATCGGAGGTTTGGTCTTCCACGTCCTCATGCCGGTCTCCTGGAGGAATGTCGCTGTGTGCTGGGAAAGCGTGATGAAATCCACCAGTCCCTTATCAATCCAAGGGGCCATGAAATTTTGGTGGTCCTCATTCGCCCAATGGTCGGCGTGATGGACGACGCAGAGTAGTTGTGTCTTGCCTTCCTTGAGTAAAATCTCGAGTTGAGATGCGATCTTGATGCGATCATACTCGCATGTTGTGAGGACCAAGATATCTAATTTGGTGGCGTCGTCGGCGAGCAGCATGTCAGGCGGTTGGGCTGCTGGGACCGGTTTGGGAAGTTTGAAGTCCTTCATGATCTTCTCAATGCCATAGCGTTGGTTTTGTTGAAAGAGGCTCAGATTCGATCTCTTCTGGGAGCCAAAGGAGTGTACGAACGCTGCAACGACTTCATCGTGATATCCTGTGGTCTCCACGATGGCAATACTTAGAGGCTTCTGGGAGACATCGCTGAGAGGAGACTTGACAGCACCGCCGTCATTGGTAGCGAAGGAGGTGTCCGAAGAATTGGTATCGTCACTGACAATAGTTTCTGAGAACAGCAAAGACTTGTAGGAGAATTGCCTGTTCCTGTTACTGCCGAAGAGGAAGAAGCCCACCAGGAAGAGTGTTGCCGCAGAAATGGCCAAGAAGCCGGAGAAACGTCGAGATATGGCCATACCTTGGGGTCTATTTCTTCGTTTTTACAATTGCTGGATCGTTGGATCGTCCCGCTGCCGTACACGAGGCAGATATCCAACACGAGACAGATATCCAACACGGGGGATACACTGTCGCTTACAGAAATCGGAGCACTAGAGGGACGCGAGGGCATACGAGCGAACAAAATGGAATAAATTTTGCTGCTGTATGTGGCAGGTGCTATTTGAGTGAGCTGACGTTGCCGGAATTCTCACGCTGGAGTACTTGGGCGACAAAGCCAAAGGCCAGGTGCATTGTCTTGTTTTGGGGAAATGCCATGACGGGGGTAAAAGATGAAATACGTACCTTAGTTCTCAAAGGCTGTCGTGGCGCTTGCCCTCTCTTGGCAGGTGGATTCTAACGAAACTCAGAGGAAGCGACTTTCAGGGGCACATTCTCGTACTTTACTCAGGTATGCACGCGACAAGAATGTAACTTACTTTTAGCCATTCAAGATTCTTTTTCCCGATTGAGAGTCCATCAGATAGCAATTTCAATTATGGTCAAAGAGAAACATTGTTGTTGTATTGATGAAGTAACAGCGCGTAAGATGGTACTTTGATGAGATAAAGTAAAGTAACGGGCGTTGTCAACATATCGGTCACCTTGCATTTCACATTGCATGAGCTGGCACGGCTGGCTGCACATTTCACCCGGGGACCCCACTCCGACACCGCTAGCTAATCGTATTGTGCGCTAGTGAAGGTAATTTTAGCTACTTTCTACCTTGATTTTCTCCCCGAAACGAAACAAGCGGAAGTGCGGCTGGAAGTTTTGAAACCCCTCATCAATTGGCATTGCCCCTGCCGAGCCTGCCAAGCGTACGACTCCCTCTTCAAATCTAAGGTACCTATCTATGTCCTCAACTTTTCCTGCTCTCTTTTTCATCGCAAATAGCTCAACCCATCACCTTTTGACCTCCGCTGACGACGCCGGGGCCCACATTTCTCTGCCACGCACGATGCTTATTTTTCCGCCCCGAACTTTTCCCACACCTCCTCCCCAAGCTTACTGGCCCGCTCTCCCTTCTCCATCGCCCACTTCTTCGCCGTCCCCCAAGCCGTCCGATCCTCCTCCGAGCCCGGTCTCGGGACCTGGGCGTTGTCGGTATACCCCAAAGATGGCAGAGTGCCGGACCGGTTCTCGTCCGCCGCAAAGCGCTGATCCGGCGTCATGTCCGACGCGAAAGGGTTCTGCACGTAGCCGGGCGGATGCTCGAGGCTCGCTCGGATGGGCATGTCCGGGGGAGAGGACACGCTACCCGGTGGCGCTGATGGGTCAAAGGACGGTCTCATGCTCGTAGAGGTTGTGGATGCGGGCGGGAGAGCCTGGAAGGGCGGATCCACCGTCGGCTGCGACATTTGGGGAGGATACGGTTGGGGCTGAGCGGGCGTAGGACGGACTGGCGCGTAGTGCTCCGATGATGATGCTTTCTCGCCAGCTTTGGGCGGGGGGGGCAGGCTGGGCTGCGCGGTGGTTGTAGGCGGGGGTGGCACGGGTGCTGCTCCTGGTTGTGGAGCTGGTGGACCGTGGCTGGAGCTTTGCGGTGTACTGCGCGTAGGGGTCGGTGCCGCTGCTCCAGGCCGAGCCGGTGCGTATGCGTAAGGGGAAGGTGCGGTAGTTTTGGCCGGCTGCGAGGGGGTTATTGCATTTGAGTTGTAGGCGGTCTGTGGTGTGACGCCGCTGGCTTCTGCTGGGCTTATGGGATCTTCGGTGTGGATCGGTATCCCTGACATTGTGGATGTGGCATTTGATGGTCAAGAGGAACCTTGACTTCAGGAAAAGGGTCAAGGCGCGGTCATTTGCGGACTTCACGTGAAGCAAGGGAGGCCTACTTCTGCCTACGAACATACGTCATCCGGCCTGTGGGCGTTTCAGAGTGGGACAGCAGGTCAGGGTGAGGAATGATATCTGGCCAGTCGAAGTGTGCAAGCTTATGATTAGAAGCGCTGAGTCTACCTCTCGTTATGCAATCTATTCCCATGAGACGGACCAGACCGATAAAGGGAAGAAGAACCAAGCGGAGTTGTGACAGTGCAAGATACAGAAGTACATGTGTATGAAAGTCGCCAGCTTGAATAGTACAGCATCAGGAGCATCAGCTGCACCAGCTGAATGATCACCCCCTCACATCTCAACCGTCACCGAATTTCCACCACGTACCGCAAACCTCAGCCTAGACGGAGCACAGCACCTTACAGCCCACGTCATCCATCTGTGCCGGAATGCAAGAAGCTTTGTAGTGTATCTAACCAGATCCACCCTTGAATGCCTTGCCGAACATGAGCAATTGGACTTGGTCGTAGATCGAAAGCACACCAGCACCAGCGACACCACGGAGGATATTGGCACCAGCACCCTTGAACAAAGATCTAACACCCTCAGCGGCAATAATTTGGCGACCGGCATCAATGGAAGACTTGTACTTGACGGCCTAATGACGTTTTAGTAAGTTGATCTTGGGTTAGGAGATTTGCAACGGTAACTCACTTCACCAGAAGTCATCATCATACGCCTACGGATAGTATCGAGAGGGTACGAGCAGATACCAGCACCAGTGGTGACAGTCCAGCCGAGCAAGAAGGAGGCCAAAAAGTTACCCTCGAGAGAACCAACCAGGAGAACAGGCTTGAGGGAGTCGTACATTCCGAAGTACAATCCGCGGTAGACGATGATACCAGCGACAGAGGGACCGAAACCACGGTAGAGACCAAGGATACCGTCAGAGGCAAGAGTCTTCTTGTAGACATCCACCAGACCGTTGAATTGACGGTCTCCGCCAGTCTTTGAATTCTTGGCGTCGTTTGCTAGACGAGTACGGGCGTAGTCCAGGGAGTACACGAAAAGGAGGGACGTAGCACCAGCGGCCTATGATCATTAGTTTGAAATATTTATCTATATCAGCCCACAGGTTACTTACACCACCCGAGGCCAAGTTGCCCATCATCCACTTTGCGTAGCCATCACGCTCCTTCTTGAATGCGAACATGGACTTGTAGGTATCACGGAAAGCGAAGTTGAGGGCCTGGGTTGGGAAGTATCGGATAACGTTGGCTGTATTACCACGCCAGAGCGAAACCACCCCCTCATTGGCGACTGTGCGGCTAAAGCACTCCCCGATGCCAGCATACTTGCGGTCAAGGCGTCCAGTCTTCAACATCTCATCCTGTTGGCAAGCAAAGTTCAGTAAAGATTCAAGTCCGGATCTTGGAGTTACAGCCTGTGTGCTACGCAGCTGGTGGTTGACAGGAAAAGGCCAGAAAGACCACCTCAGCCTAAAAACCATGCTAGAAGCTGCTATTGCAAGATGTACAATTCCAAGCCCCAGTGTTATAAATATTCATAGCATTACTCCGGGACGAATGAAGAGATATAGCTCACCTGATTTTGAATGAGGAGCTTAACACGCTCGATAGGAGCAGCAGCGGTTTTTGAGACGGCAGCAGATACACCACCCACTATAACACGCTGTCAGTCAGCCAAAACATTTCTCACTACTCTAATTGGCGCAGTATGTTTGCGTTGGCTGCCACCACCCAGCTCTTATTCTGATTCGGTGAATCCTGTGTAGGCCTAGATGAATTGCGATACGTACTCAAAAAATCCACAACGAAGCCCTGTTATCATAGCTTGTATTAGCCTCCTATTCTTGGTGCAATGGGGTGGTTCTTCTATCTTGCGCCATCACCAGTGCCTAGCCTGACAAGCAATCATCGTGATGAGGACATTGGAATTTCACCCAATCGATGTAGCTTGAGATGGCATTGACATGGCGCGATATCGCGCAAGATTTGATGGGAGCTGGAGACCTACAGGCATGCTATTAAACTGTCAGCTTTCGTTCATCAAACAGTGGCTCAGGTCAGAAGGCAAGCTCAGGGGGCCTGGAAAAGACTCCAAGTCCTTGTTGCCGATGCAATCCGTCTTGCATCACTGCAGCACAGATAGTAAGGGATTACGGTGAGACCTACCCCATAAAGGACTTCTTGGCCTGGACCACCTCTCCTTCAGGCATCTCAGCGGTATTTCAAGGAAACAAAGGGTATGAGAAAGATAAATTGAAAGACTGAGTGGAGTGGAGTGGAGTAATTGAGACCTAGGTCGTCGATGGTGTTCACGAGTGTTGTGATGAGTTGACAGAAGGAAATTTCTGGTAACGGATACCAAGCCACTAGTGCTCTAGTCTATAATGGGAATATAGCTCAAGACGATACTTCACGTCTTCCTCTTCCGGAACCTCCCGATCTCAAAACTTCAATCAAAGACAGACACTATTTGTGTGAACGACTTCTTTGGAGACACCTCCAACTGCAAAGGACCGCCTACAGAATTCGGGTCCAATAATATCTATGTACAATGTTGGCAAGCCAATGAAATCAGATCTTAGCCATCGTCAAGTGCTGGATGGCTTGCTCTTCCTTGAGCGTGTCTTTTTCTTCCCTTCCTTGATATCAGTCCTATTGGCGGCTTTAAGCTTCGATTTGTGATCTGCCAAGTCCTGACCAGCGAGCACCTCAGCAAGCGTCTTTTGTGGTCCCTGCTCGTTGCCAAAGGTCTCCTTTCTCCACTGCCGTAGCCTTGCCTTTTTTCCTAGCCGCTTCTTATCCTTCTTTTTCTTGTCCGAGTCTCTGAACGCAGCCATCTTTTTGAGTCCTGCGTATTGATTAAGCTGACTGTCCGAGGCCATCAATATATCGTGTGGCGTAAGACCATATGCTATTGGTGAAGTTTCTCTGTAGCGGAAATGACCTGCATGCTTCTTGCTGAAATTGGATAGGGTTTCGTCCACCTTTATGGATTCGTCAACAAGCTGTTCAATCTTGCGGCGTTCGAGCCGGGCCTCCTTTTTGTGCTCGTCCCTTTCGCGTCTCTTGCTGGGCTTTGGCTTCGATTCTGGTTTCGAGACTGACTCCGAGTCGCTGCTCCCATCATTTGCGATCGTGGCTCCACCAGCAGAGGACTCATCATCTGTCATGGAGAATTGGGGCTTTTCGTGTTCTGCTGCATCAAAGTCAGGTACGAGATCATCAATTTCTATGTCGTCCTCCCATTTGGGCTTCGTGATCTTTCGTTGACTCTTCCCTTTCACCTCACTGCTGTCATCTATATCATGATCGGCGTAGTAGTCGTCGCCGAAACGTTTTCGCATCTCTTGCTCCCATCGTTCGTCATCCCAGCCGTCGTCAAGGAAAGCGGGCCAATCCTGCTCCTGGATTGACTTGCCCCGCAAGCCTGCAGCATCTTTAATTTTTCGAATCTTTTCTTCGACTTCAGAAACCTTCAGCTTTCGGTAACGGGCCTTTTCTTCATCACGAGCCTGCCTTGCTGCCTCTTTCTTCATTTGTTCAGCTTCACGTGCCTTCTTTCTAGGATTTGTGGGTTCTTTCCGCACGGAATATTTTGCTGCGGCGTCTCTCGCATGAGAGAGGAGCTTTTCATGGGAGGCTTGCGGATCTTCGAAGCGCAAATTATACGCCTCCTCGAAGAGCTCCGCTCGACGATCCTCTTCCTCATCATCAGACTCGAATGGCTGAAACTTGGTCCCGGCCGCGGGGACCCATGCTCTCGCGGACATGTAATTGGATAAGAAAGTTTCCGGGTCCTTGTCGGCGGCCTCGAGGTCCACCTCCGGCTTCTTAATCTTCGATCGAATGGTTTGACTCTCTTTCTGTGATGCAGAAGGCTTCCGGACCAAAAAGTCGTCGTCACCACCCTTATCCTCCCCAGAGTCAATTTCACTATTAGCCGCGGCATGCATTTCCTTCACTATGAAATTTTTGAGATCGTCTTGCTGCTGTGCATAACTTATGGGTTCATCGTCCTGAATTTTGGGGGACGCAGAAACTTCAAGTATGTTTCTTCGGTGATAGTCGTTAAGATACATAGGCTTTTCATGTTTCGTTTTGAGGCCTTTGCTGTCTTGAGCCTCGTCATCTAGGTCCGTAAAGAATTTCGCTTTCTCATCGTAGACGCGAGGATCCTTCCTCCGGATCGCCTCAAGAGTTTCCTGTATTTGCTTATCAAGAGCCTCGGATGCCAGAACACCCTCGTCATCCTCCTCCTCTGAGTCTGTAGAAGATCCTGTACCGTCATCGTCGTCCTCATTTGGCCCCGCGCTACGCCTAGTTACCGTAGATACGTCGTTGCCGTATTTTTCTTGGACTGTTATGGTCAGTACGTAATATTAGTAGGATTGGGCAAAGCTTTACTCACGCTTGTGAAGCTCCTCTCTTTTCTTATTGTGCTCAAAGCGTCTGGCAAACTCATGGTTTACCTTGAAGCCGTGACCACCTGTCTCTGATTCGTCATTCCGCACAGACAACCTTCTATCATTTTTGGACACACTGTCTTCCTCGTCGGAGATATCATCTTCCTCTAAGAGTCCCTTCAATCGCTTTGTAGGCCTCTCACTCTCCACTTGCTCATGATGTTTTATTTCGACATCTTTGAGAGCTTGTGAGCCTCTATTGAAGCTCATCTTCGCCATGATAATCAATTCTGTGGCATGTCGGAATCTATGAAGGCAGATGGATGGCTTTTGTGTTCTCAGCCTTTGTAGGGGACATCTGCGATTTGAATATTAGTTTGCCAATGTGGCGAGATGGTACACTAGTAATGATGAGGAGTGGGACTACCAACCGGACAACTTGACCCTAAACATCATCCGTTCGTTCAAAGCATTGCCGGAATCGTGCATTATGATCCGTTGCGTATTATCGAGACACTGCAATTCATAATTTGACGATTCTCGGAGGAACCTCGGTACGCTAACTAACTCTAGTAGAGCGACTCGAACGCGACGATTGAAACAGCAGTACCATCCTCAGAATTCACACCTACTCATATTGCGATCTCTTAGCCTTCTAGGAGTGTCATTGACTTTGAATGACCAGAATGTACATATGTCTTGCGAAATGTTTGCTGAGTCGATGAAGTCCTCAACGCCTTCCAGCTAAACAGCTTCTTCGAGACCTTACTACTTGGATTTGTTCTCAGCATGGCCGATATCCCTGCCCTCGTCCAAGTGGGCAGGCCAATAACCCTTCTGTATGAAGCTAATGTATCATTCCTTCCAACGATCCGCCGGCTAATTCGTGCTAGTCCTGTGGGTTTGAAGGAAGCGGCCCTCGATTCTCCGACATTTAGATCGGGGTTCACTCACTTCTCTGAGCAATTCGACCTCGTTGAGAAATGGCTAGAAGGCTACGTAAAGTGTACTTCAAGATTATCACACGAAGTTGCAAATTTCGAATCTTTGGTCAGCGGATTCCTTACACAGACGACACCGCCTACCTACCTTTCCGAGGCCGTCATCGATCATGACTACACGTTGCTGGCAATGAAGAGATATGGCGAGGGTGCGAAGGAGTTTTGGACGGCAACCATGTCTGGACTTAGGAAAATTCAGGTGAACATAGTAGAACCTATCCGGACCTTTCTCTTGAACGACCTTCGATCGTTCAAGGAAACTAGGCGAAATCTTCATGTCACGCAGAAGGAGCTTGATAACCTGCACTCACGCTACTCCGGTCAAGCCAAGACTAAGGAAGCTTCATCTTTGCGAGAAGACGCCTTCCAACTCCATGAAGCGCGAAAAGCCTATTTGAAAGCATCGATGGACTTCAGTGTCACAGCGCCACAGCTACGAATGGCGCTAGACAAGATGCTTGTGAAAGTATTCGCAGATCAATGGCGCGACATGCGGACCCCTCGGCAGAATATAAGCGGCTCTATCGGAAAGTGGGGCAGTGACATTGAGAGAGTCAGAGGTTGGAGTCGTGAGATGGAGAACGGGGAAAAAGCCTTCCGACGAGAGCTCCAGACTGCCAGGAAACAGATTGAAGAGAGCGCCGAAGCGGCCTCTCGCCCCTCACGCGAACTAGAGGATTATGCTGTTGGGTCAGCCTCGGCATCCGCGGTCAGGGCGCCTTCTACTACGAACCTGCAAACGCCGGGCGGTAGACCACGATCTGCCAGGTCTGAGAAACAAGGCTGGCTTAACTTGCGGACTGTCTCGGGAAAGCCCTCAAGGACTACATGGCTCCGGAAATGGTTTTTTGTGAAAAACGGCATCTTTGGGTGGCTCGTACAAGGCACTCGATCTGGTGGCGTTGAAGAAAGTGAGCGCATCGGACTTCTACTTTGTAATGTGAAGCCTGGTAATGCGGACGACCGAAGATACGTATTCGAAGTGAAGACCAAAGACACCACTATAGTCGTCCAGGCTGAGACCGCTCCTGAACTGGTGGAGTGGCTTGCAACGTTTGAGATTGCCAAACAGAAAGCCCTTGAAGACCCAGCAAGCACGGAGTCTCCCGGTCTCGGTCCTCGGGCTCAAGATCCTGCCTTTGCGATCTCTCCCCCAAGCGCACCAGAATTTGCTGCAAGTGCTGCTGATTCTGGGATGCCACAACACACGGACGACAACTCCGGAACATCCGGACTGGACCGAAGCTCAACTCTCCCTGTGCCTGGAGGAGACCTTTCTGCTAATAGGAGCAGCTTCGATGTCACCAATCATCGACGCTCATTCACCGAGAGAGAAGTAGATGTTAGCAGAGATCCTGCGTCGAGAATTATACAGAGGCTAGATCTTCATCGGAAGCCATTGGGAAGTGATAAATCGGCTGGCTCGCTTGCTAGCCCTGGACTTTCTGGAGGCGGTATTGCTAGTCTTATAGCAGCCAGTCACACGTCCATGCCCGTTGGACCTGGAGCGCTACCAACACCTCCGCCGCCCGAGACACCAGTATCAAGGAAATCGTCTGCACCGATTCTTAGCATGCGAGATCTACCTATGAGCACATTAGCCCCCAACACCCTAGCAAACCCACCTGCACCCACGAATCTTAGTGCAGCAGCTGTGATCGTTAATGGCGAGAAAGGTATTGGCGTAGGTCGTATAGATGCGTCAGGTGGTATGCCCAGCGGTCTCATGGCCAACATATGGGGGAGTGCAAATTGGGGTCATCTCAACAGGCTGGAACGTGGTGAGGTAAAATCTCCGCAGGAGAAGCCTATGAAGTTATCAAACCCACCAAGCCCTATGGCTCGCCCCTCGAATGGTTCTTCTGCAAGCGGATCTCCTCTTCACAACGCCGCAGTCTTGGGAGCTAGCGATTCGGCCTCAGGCTCTATTGAACTAGACAAGACTACCGGCATGCCATCAGCACCATCCCCTTCACATCGTAAAACTATCAGCCTTGGTGGGGACGAGAAAAACGACAGCTCTCAGCTAGACTATCCCAATTACTATCCGCTGCAGCTCAAGATGCAAGACGCGCAGTTCCGACTGTTGTTTCCCAATGTGCGTCGCGATGAAAGACTTGTATTAGTATTTAAGGCCACGTGGAGTCCGAACGAGCAACAAGAGTTTCCAGGAAGGATCTTTGTCACTGCCAAAGAGATTTATTTTTACAGCAATCATTGTGGGTTAACTTTAATCACGGGTGTCGGCCTGGACTCAATCTCAGAGATCACAGCGGCGACGGGAAAAGAATGTGACTTCGTCTTCTGCCATATGAAGAACAATAACAACCAAACAACCGGTTACAATCGCATCACGATCAAGACCTTTATAGAACCGCTTAGTCTGCTTCAGCGAAGACTCAACTTCTTGGTGCGGAACCGCACATCACAAGGGATTGGCATTGAAGAGATCATGAAGACTCTCATTAAGATGGAGCAAGATGATCCGGAAAGCAGCCCGAGCATAGACAGCTGGGAAAACGTATCCATCAATACGCCCACTGATGGCGATTCAACCCCCAGGCGCAATGCATCCCACAGGGATCAGCGAGATCTCAGAGCGAGTAAGGCACCTTTCATTGTTGTCTCTTCCTATTCGAGACTGCTTTTGAGTCGTGAGACATGTTGGAGGAACAAGTTGCCCATTCTGCTCCCCTTTCTACTCCCCAGTTATGTCGTATTACTCAGATCTTATCAATGAGTGGTAATACTTACTCCGAAATGTGCTAGGCGTGTTAATTGACCGAGGGTTGTACGGGAGTAGCGCTCTCCAGCTAGACAGCGCAGGAGACAGTAGCAAAGCCTTCAAACTTCCGAAACAGCCTATCACATATGCTCCATCCGGAATGGACAAGTTGGTTTTGGAGAGAAATTGGGACATCAGCCCGAAGGCTCTATTTCATATTATGTTTGGAGATAAAAGTGTGGTATGGTACGTGCAGTTCGGAGCAACTGATCCTTCCTGATCTTCACGAACTCCGGGTTTCAAAGACCATCTTTTGAGACCAGAGCGCTCTTCTCATTCCCCGATCCTAGGTCATGATTCGGCTTCTTGCCCTGAAAAAGCCATGCTGACTTTTAAATCTGCATAGGCAACTTCTGTATCACGAACGGCGGGCTCGACGTGAGTGGTTTTTGAGACTTTTGGGGCTCTCATTTCCGCGTCGACCACGCTGACAGCTTCAAAGACATCAAGCAAAAACCGTGGAGTAACCAGCTGGAACACGGGTACTTGCGTCGTGATTTCGAATATCAGATCGAGTATCTGGATATTTTGAGTAAGCAGCTCTTATAAGACAATCGCCATTCTCAGCCCCAGCTAACTGGCCTTCACCCAGGACGAGTACGGATTGCCACAGTTGAAGACCACCAGATGGTGGAGGTGGCTAATGAACACCTCTTATATGTTATCTCGGACCGCAAGCGCCCTTGGCATCTCCCACATCGCGATAGTTTCCTCCTACTCACTAAAGTGGTCATCACCCATCTGGCCAAATCAAAGTGCAAATTGGCCGTCTATACCAAGGTTGAGTGGACTAGACCTCCACCTCTTATGAAGGGTATGTTGCCCATCCGTGGTTCCGCATTCTGGAAACATGCTGACAATGATAAGGTATTGTTGCCGAAGCAGCACTGAAGGAACTTGAGCTTGACGCCTTGGACTTAGCAGACGTGATTGCGGATCAAGTGAGGAATTTTGCAAGTGCCCATGGTCGAACGAAGAAGGCGATCCAGATCTTTGGTTCGGTTGGGCTCCAGACGCAAGTTTCTTTGTTTGCTGGGAACGATGCGCCATTGAAAGCGCAGTTGCGGCGTAAAATGAGGCGCCGAACTTTGACAGCGCTCGCTTTCGAGTCTCTTGGTTCGCTTTTGGAAAGTGTCGCCACCTCGGCAGTGCAGACAGTGTTTGACCTTGTACGATGGACCTGGAAAACGATCGACGCAAATAGCGTTCTGCTCGCTATTCTGGCAACGAGTGTCTTCGTCAACGTCATCTTCTCTTCAACGGGCACGTCCGAGTGGTGGAGGGAACGGAAAGCTGGCAATTTTATGGCTAGGCTGGGAGTCGGGCCAGACCTCACAATGAGCAAAGCCGTCTACCTGCATGAGATTCATGAATTTAACGCTCTGGAACTTGACCTTCGAGAAGCTTCTAGCAGTCAATGGTAAGTCTAATTCCGAGTCCCTTGTTGGTAGCCGGCAGCAACGATCTTACTGGTCTTGGTTTAGTCGAGATACCTTTAGTAGCGTCATGAACCTTGGAAATGATTATGCACATCAGCACTCACAACAGCTCCCCTCTATGAGACCTTCGCAGACTCCAGCAGCTCGTCGTCTACAGAGGAGCCGAGAACACTTGGGCTTCCAAAGACATGACTTGCTCGTGGCAATGCGAGTGATCAATAACATCGAGCGTGAGATGCTGCAAGCCGAGTGGGAGAATTGGCTCTTAGAAGAGAACGTCAAATGCAAGCATTTAGGGGTTATGCTGAGTCACAACACTACAGGGAAAAATAACAATGGGCGACATGTTTTGGATGGCGAATCCAGACGCCTCGAGGAGGCCCGGGCGTGGCAGAAGCAATACTGCGACAGCTGTAACAAAGAGCTGGAAACCGTGGTGATTTGAGTGTGAAGCAGGGTCCGGAGAGTAGCAGGAGGACTGAGCTCTAGCCAGAGACCTTGCAGCTCAACTCCGATTCCCCATAAGGAAACTTCGGCCGTTCTCGCTCTAGCGATCCTCCAGATGTTTGGTGGCTCGGTGAGACCGAGACATTGGGACAGCGAGTGGGTGTGCGACTGGTGCACAGACCTGCCCACTCATTCTTCGACCTCGACGGAAATCTGCACCAGCAGTGGCTAATCTAGGCGTTCCGTCTGGCAAACATCTAGCAAAGGCTCAGGGAATACTTGTCTTGGCCTTGAGGCCTCAAGCGATGCTTCACCAGAAAAACGATCTTCTGGAAGCTGAGGGCACTTCTGGAGGATGATTCGTCGTTTAGCTCAGGAATGGGAAAATATGATGCAATGCAAGAGGTGTGCAAAGCCCCATAGGACATGGTCAGGCTATCAAGGTCTGCGGACCGATACATCACCGTTTGTGTGAGCCTAAGGTTTGCGTCAAGAACGCTGTATGAGGCCATGCAAGTATCAACGGCAGGGTCCTCAAACATTCTTCCGTTCGCTAATCTAAGCCTATTGGGTTGAGTTGTGGCTTTCATCCCTTGCCTCCGTGCGCTCCCTGAGACATCTTTCTAGTCACTAATAAGCGCTTGCACATGGCTACTTGCCTAGGATACATCGGTACCAGATTGATACATCACACTGGGTTGTATTCTGATGAGAATTTCCGGAAAAGCCTCCGTCTATAAATCTCCAATGTTCCTCCCCAAACAGTGTGTGCCCGTACCCATTAGTGTTGCGTTGCTTAGTCATTTCAACCTTTCTTCAGTCATTTCATGGCAGAGCACCCAGAAAGACCTCTTCATGTTCGAGCCGAGACTTATGGTGGCTGGCACACCCACCTTCCGGACGACTCGATATTCGAGTCCACATTTGGACATATATCATGTTCACAGGGTCACGACCAATCCGCTGAAGACTGTAATTCTCGACAGCAAGATGCAGTTGGCTGTTCAGTGTCGAATAACCTCAAATTACCGATGCCGACCCATTTTCGCCATCCAATGCGAAAGCTACAGAACCCTTGGAGCGACGGCTATGACTTTTCTTCAATTGACTCCGCGCATGTCGGCTTCGGCTCTGATCTAGAGCCAACGGAGCTTGAAGCTAGTCACAGTGCGGTCAACAACAGCCACAGCGAGGCTTTCAAACATCAGCTAGCCCTGGATCGGGTAGAGCCTTCGGGCTTTTATTTGCGCTCTCCAATCTCAGGTCTTTGGCCCTTATACTTGCTACCTCATTGTATTGAAGGATTCAGCTGATCGTTCCTAGATCTTTCAGCCGCAACCAAAACATCGTTCCCCGGTTTCAATACGGCCAACTTTGAGTCGTATTTTGGCTTCGATGCTTCAACAGCCTCGGCGTATGGTAACTTCCCTGCGGCATCGAGCCCTAGTGTTGCCGATTCTTCACCGCGAGCTCTCTCTCGCATATCACCACACGCTGGATCATCTCGTGGTAGAAGCCGTTCTGATGGCTTGCTAGCGGTATCTAGAGCCGAGCACCAATCGCATCTGATCAACAGCACCGTCAACATGCTAGCCCCTGCCTCCCATAGCTCACAGCCATCAGATTCGCCGGAGCTCGCATCAGGCATGGCGGAAAACGCCGTCGACTCGTTCTCTCAATCACGATCAACAACCTTCTCAGACTTGGACTTCGACTCTAGGTCTTTTGACCATGCAATGGCTCTCGCAGAAGCCAGCTACTCAGCACAAATCTCAGAGGACACTCCGAGTCACGCTTTGCAAGCAAAGTTCCATCCTGCTAAGCAACCCAACAGTTCACCCTGCAGGCATCGCGAATCTTCCCCACCTGACCTCTTCGCACCCCTGAATATTACTCCCGTCACCCCTCCTCGTTCAGAAAAAGTCCGCCACCAGTCCCTCCGATTTCCGAACGATCTCTACACTCCTCTATACGTCCGTAACCACGGCATCAAGCGTGAGGGGTGGTGTGGCATGTGCCGCCCGGGTCGCTGGTTAGTACTCAAAAACAGTGCGTTCTGGTATGACAAGAGCTTCATACACGGCATCAGTGCTGCGAGTGGCAGGCGGTTTGAAGAGCCGGTGGAGGTGAGAAGGACGACTGGAAAGGTCAATGGGCAAGGAGAGGGGAAAGGGGTTGGGCAAGGGGATGGATGGGAAGGATTGTGTGGGACTTGTGGAGTTTGGACGACACTGGGAGGAGGGAGGAGAGGAGGTGTGCCGTGGTTTCGCCATGCTTATAAGGTGAGTCTTGGAATTTTGATGAATTGGGGGGGGGAGGGAAATCGTGATGCTGATGACTGCAGTGTCATACGCATCCCAAGGTGCAAGATATGCCGAAAAGGAGACGGGAGAGCAAGGGCGAGAGGGTTTCGAAGACGATGACATCTAGACCTGTTGGTAGTGGAGGAGGAGATGATGGCGCTGATGGGGACGCCAAGGAAATCCTGTGATGTGCCCAAGGATTCTTGGACCACCGTGTGTCTGCACCTTCTTTGAAATTCCGCTTTCGGGAACTGCTGTCTGGCTGGGTAATAGTCTTGCTGCGTAATTTGTCTCTTGGGCGGTAGTAGTCTTGTTTCATACTAACCTTACATACACACATCAGGGTTTGGTTTTTCTTTACATGCAGAGTGAGAATCTAACGGTAGTAGACGAGTTATGAAATGTCTGAATGGTCCGGCTTCTTACCGTGATATGGCCCTCAAAGGGTGGTTTTTACCCCATAATCCTTCTATTATCCGCTCGTCAGTCCCCCTTCGCGGCCGCCTTCGCACTGGGCGATTGCGTCTTACCATCGATGTGCTTGCCTCTCAATCACTAGACCACTGTCCAGAGTTATACTAAACAATCGTCTTATGTAATTACCTCGGAGGCGACGTAAGGTTCGTGGACCCCGACAAGGATGCAAAGCTCACATATTTGTCTGCCCTGTATTTACCTAGCCGGAGCTATTTACCGACAGTGTTCAAACAGCTGCTCCTCGTAGAGACATTATCAGATTGATGAGCAGCAGAAGTAATTCAATTCTTGAATATTCAACCCTCTTTACACTGACAGGATCTCACGCTTCATTGCCTTAGTCTTGTCTTGGCATGGGTCGATTGGGCCTAGCGCCATTCAGCTCAGCTTATGTCGTGCACTTTCACTGTGCTACATAATTAGAGTATCAACCATAGGAAGATTCTACATCAATACAATGATATCGAGTCCTTGACACAAAGATGCAAGTCATGTGCGGGTCCCTGATTCGCCATGTCAAAAACAGTCAGAAGAAGCCGAAGCAGCCCGAGACACAAAACCGCTGGTTCACGCTCCCTCGTGAGATACGTGATATGGTCTACCGTGAGGTTCTATGTAAAAAATACTTGGTCCAATGCTCAGCGAGGTGGAAAAGGGGAAAGGCTGTGTTTAACGACGATAGACCTTTATTCTGGTTTAGGGGCAGACATTGGTCCTGGAGAGGACTCTTCTGGATGATTAAGAGACCACTGTTCTGGGCCGACATTGCTCTACTCTTGACGTCCAAAGCCATCAGTCAGGAAGCAATCGACATCATGTACGAAGAGAGTTCGTTCTGCGTTTATTTGGGGCAGCGATCGATACGATGGTACCGCATGACCCCGTTACCCTCTCAGCAACTGTTGGCTCGGATGCAAAATTTCGAGATCGGAATGTGCGTGTGTGACACCCTGGACCGCACAGCAAGCGAGACCTGGTTCAAGAATTTCGACGGCAGTCACACCATGCGCAATACCTGCCGCATTTCGTTTCCCTGCTACTACTGCCTACTCGAGTTATACGACGATCATGCGCCCTTTTCACGAGCCTGTCGGTTTCTCGTTGGCTTCAAGGCAGTGACCATCACGCTCCAGCTCCCCTGTGCACATGCAGACTTAGAGGAAGAAGTGTCAGAACTCTGTACTTCAATGAGGGAAGGTTTCAAGACGGCGTTGGAACCTGACCTTGGGCCCGGCCATTGCTACGATGTTGAGCACGTTTTCTCTTTGGAGTTCCATCCTCGCAAGTATCTCGAAGATGTTCAGGCGGTTCTGCCAACGTCGGCAGGGTGAGCGCTTGTCCTTGGGGAAGATATTGAGTCTGAGGCTGCGACATGATGAAAGTGCCCCTTTTCAGAGGAACTCGCCAAGGTCAAGCAATGATTGTGGTTCAGAGCTGGAGAGCTCGGCATGAGCTTTCCAATAGTACATGAAAATCCTTCGGGGTATCCATCCACACTAAATCCTTTCTCGCCAACGAACACTCGATGTAGGGTTGTGCTTGTGAAATTTGCAAGACTCTCCTCCCTCCTAATCTGTCACATCAACGCAACTTTCCCACCAAGAAGCATATAACATAGCGATTGTTGCCAAATAAATCCGTGTGGCATTGTCCATGACCAATAGAGGTTCTACTTGGGCTCTTCGCACCATATCTTCCGCTATCTCGTACTCTGGCAGAGTTCTTGTTTCATGGGTAGGACTTGTAGGGACCCTTTAGGCGTCGATCACCAGATTCCGGAGGTCAGGTCCCGAAACCTCAGGCGTTCTTAGGGCACAAGTACCCGGAGCTGGGCGTCATTCTTTCCCAGTTGCCCCTTATCATAAGTCAACAACGACTGAAGCTACAAGTGGCATCTCAATAGCACATTTACAATCCATCAAACTATCCGAAAATTTACAGTCAAGAACTTAATTGTATCCTTCGTTTTCGAGAAGCTATCGCATTGCAAAACCTCCTTTGGATTTCTGTGCCTTGACCGTGCCAGGATATGGGATACCTTTCGCCTTGGTCATGTCAAGTCCGGGAGGCCAAGCAAGCTCTGTGCTTCACAAAAAAGGATGGACTGAAGCAGCAGAAGGATCTCGAGAGGCAGGATGTCGGTGCTGAAGTGTGTAGGGTATCAAGGTGTGAAGGATTTTCAGGACGTTATCGTAGATTAACAGTTGGCCAATCATGCCTGGATAGATTGAGTACTGTACTATTCATTTAGCGTATTCAAAAACATCTGGAATGCTTGGCACCGGAGATCTTTCACACCACACACCCAAATTCGTACTGTAGCATAGAAATCTCTCCGCAAAATCATTCAAATCAAGTAGCCACATCGCAAATAGTCGCATTTAATAAATTTTGAAGCTATATAACCTCAGCTATATCTCCCAAACGCACTAATAACGCACTAGCCACCGAACCGCCGTCGTCGCCGCCCCTCAATCGCCGTCGCAGTAAGAACTACCCCCCTATAACTACTGAAATAGCCTCTGCTTAAGAAGCTCAGAAACAGATAAATAGGGGGCTGAGTATTAGCAGCAGCCCCTACGGGGGCCCTGCGACGGCCCTATGGGCTAAGTATTTAGGTTCAAATAGGGGTGTCTGACTATCAAGCGCAAACACCCCCGGGACTAGGACCAGGCTTTTTTAGCTGAGTTGCTAATATTGAGGAACATGCCAAGACTTCAGTATAGCTTCATCTTTTCATTTGAGACCTATACTAACGATAGCAGTGTTATTGAATAATTTTGCGGAGAGATTTCTATGCTACAGTACGAATTTGGGTGTGTGGTGTGAAAGATCTCCGGTGCCAAGCATTCCAGATGTTTTTGAATACCTACGCTAAATAGCAAGATGATGTAAGGTTTCCCCCCTAAACGAGGATCGCCCGGGTAATTAGAGTACCGAGAAAATCTACCTTAATTAATACGAGGAAATGCCCACCTGAAATCTGGCCTTCAATACGCATACGCTGCTCTTTGATCTAAATTTGTCCGGACAAACATAAACTCGACTCTCTTACTCTCAGTACATTCAAACCCTCAAACTCTAGCTAGATGGGAATCCCAACTTTCATTTCTGGAGAGATCTGGATTGTTCCTGGTTCGGGCGACCCGTCAGGGCGGGGCCCCGTCAACCGGAGTGCTGGGGTTTCTTGGGCGCTTTTGATAGGGCTGAAACATCAAAGCGCTTGTACTGGTACTAATCTTAGTACTCGGAATATATTTAAGGCCCGAGGCGGCCAGACTCAAATGCAATGAATACAATGCAACGGCCCAATGCAACGCTCTACTCTTTTGGTAGAAGACCATGCTAGACAAGTAGTTGACAGTCTACGGAAGGTGCTGGAAAGAGTCGATCCCGTCCAGAAGATCCTCACCTCTATTGCTCCCATTCCTTGGGCTTTATCACATTTTTCAAGGCTCCATCCACTCCGATCTCTGCTATCGGGAAAGGTAAAACCCCTGACTTTATAGTCAGACAACGCTCCTTGTCCGGTTACTTGTTCGCTGTCTTCGATTCGAGACTCGTGACAGAGAGCAATGTTAGGGTCGTGATATGTCTGCGTTCTGTCGAGTATAAGTCTGCTAGTCTCCTCCGAAAGGAGCGATTGGTTGCGACCCTTGAGTCTTTCCAACGCAAGACTTTGCTCACAACACATTGCTTCCGCAAATGTACCCGTCAATGACACTCTATTTCGGTCGTATGTCTTATTACCTGGAAATGTGCATCTCATCGAGAGGGAGAAAATGCTATTCGTCAAACGTGGACATGCTCTCCCAATCCTCCATATGCAGTCGCCCGTGTTTTTGCAGATCACTACAATATCCATCGATCATGTCCATAGGTATCAAGAGTTCCGACTCGGACATGCCCGGCCTCGCTGACAGCATGACATGATGGCTTCGCGACCTCCTTAAATGCGTAAGTCTTTACCCCAATGCAGGTAACTCCTATTCTAAGCTTTCGTACCTCCCTGTCAAAGTCTCATGACACTGCCGAGATAGAGGCGAGCACCGATGATAGCGTGCTTGGGAGAGCGATCCTGGCGCGTATACATCCTCTCCACTGCCCCCAACACAAGAGCCTATCCAATGTCTCTCAAATGCATGATTTTTCAGCCTGGGAAGTTGCAGGTCAACGCTGCAAAAACCATCCATGACGGAGTCTTCATTGCCTGTTGCGACGATCCGCCGCTGCCTCTACAGGGATCTTGACCGGGTCATTCCCATCTACAATCACTACGTTTCCAATACCATCGTGTCCTTGGACCTAGACACCAAACCTATCCTATACATGCAAAAGTTGTACAACTCCGTCCTCGATCAGGATCTGCCCTTCCTCATCGTAACCATCAGCAACGATCATAACCCTGCTCGCAAAGAAGAAGACATCATAGGCTATGCATACGCAAACTTTTACCGCCGCCTGCCTGCCTTCGGCGGTACCGTCGAAATTCTCATCTACCTTGACCCAAATGCCACGGGCCAAGGGATTGGGAAGAGACTGCTGGACGTTCTGATGGTGACGTTGAAGGAGGTCACTCCGGCCACAGACCGGGACCATGGTATCAGGGAGGTGCTGGCGATTGTACCTGTGGATGAAGGGCGTGATGCTAGTGGATTTTTTCGGAAAGGGGGGTTCGAGGACAGGGGATTGTTGAAAGGAGTTGGGTGGTACGTGTATTTCGGAGTATATCCTTCCTGTTCGATAGCAGACAGCTTCACTCCTCAGCAGTGTCTTTTTGTTGGGGCTGCATGCTATCTTTTCGGGACCAGAAAGCTTCTTCACTCTCCAGCACCGTCTTTTTGTTTGGGTGAAAGGCCAGGGTTTGGCAGCAAAAGGATTTTTCAGCTCTCTCAACTGGTCTCATTTCTCGGGATTACTTGGAAACAGCGACACTGACTCTGAAATCTACGCAGGAAGATGGGGAGGTGGGTTGACACAAGAACTTTTCAACGGTCCCTTGCTGAGGAGCCAAAGGATGGAGAGAAGGGCGTGCAGAAGAAGAGACAGCCAAAGCGACACTGGTGGAGCTCTGTGTTTCGCCGGAGATGACGGCTGGCAAGGCCGATGGTACGGGACTAATGAGAACGGTGCATTGGATACTACACTCCAGAGGAATAGACGGAGAGCGAGGATCAAGACTCGCAGGGATTCGATGTACAGGGCTGATATGCCGGGCTTCACTGCAGCGGGGAGGTATTCGATTTAGATTCTCACACATAGAAGATCGTATCATGTGTCCCTGTGTAAAACATCCCGACCCAGATCCCATTGCCAAACCCTCTCCAGACGCCTCACTCCTCCTTGGTCGGCGTTGCTGCCCTAGCAGGCTTGCTGCTCCGGTCGCCACTTGCGATGGAGAGACCGTGCAATATGTCTCGCGCGAACTCATAGGCCATGTAGCTAGGGAAGACGAGCCATAATCCGCTACCGACGGTGTCAGCCTCGCTCCTTGAATGCAAAGTGGGGGACGTAGGAATGGAAGAACCCACTTCGGGATGATCCACAGGAAGAGCAACGACAGCGCATCATTGTGTCCGATATTGTCGAAGCCGGAAAAGAACTCGTTGCACCCTTCCCCACCTCATCAGCCCCGCCTTCCCCAACCCCCCCCCCCCCACCGGGAAAGAAAGAAAAGAAAGAAAATCCCACTCACAATAAAGCACCGTCTTACTAACCGTCATCACGCTCACCCCGAACCCCACCAAACACGCCACCCCGCCCCACCCCCCCCCGACCACCCTCTTCCCCCCATCATCCTCCTCCCCATACCGCCACACCACCCACAAATACGCCGCGTAACCCACGCTCTCCACGACGTTCAGCCCCGCCTGCGCGCCCGTGAAGCCGTTGCGCGCCTCCCACGCCCCGGCCCCGTACAGGCGGTCCACGCGGCCGTAGAGCGCGTACGGCACGAACAGGGGCGCGTGCCAGGCGCCCCCGGGCGCCATCGTGTGGGGGCGCAGCAGCACGTAGGTTGTGTCCCAGCAGACGAGGGGGAGGGAGATCAGGAGCCAGAGGAGGGTTAGGGGGGGGGTGTGGGTCCAGGGGCCGGGGGAGGGGTTGGGGGGGGTGGGGGGGGGGAAGGTGGTTGGGTGGGATCGGGTTGAGACCATGGTTTTGGTGGGGTTGGTTGGGGTTGGTGGGGGGGGTTGTTGGGAGGGGGGGTGGAAGGGAGTGGAGTGGGTGATGAGGTTTTTGTCGGTCTTGGAATGGGGCTAGTACTGATCGGGCGACGTGCGTTTGATCCCTTTTACGGCGGTAATTCTCGTCCTCGGGGATGCGCGGACACGGTGCGGTGTGGAAAGCGAAATTTTGCCCGCCGGTTGCGGAGAGTATGATCTTCGTTGGTGCTATCTTCGTTGGTGTCATGTATACACCACCCAGTCAGGATGTCAATGAAGTGCTTCCGTCACTCGGCAGGCCATTGGCGAGAGTGATCGTTGCATTGAGTCGGGTAACCTTTTCAGGCTCGGGAGGCATCAGCTTTGGCAGCTGCTTGGATTCCGAGCTCCGTTATCTGTCTTTCAATGCTCGAGATCCGCAGGGTTTTACGGAAGGGTTCATGGTTGGGTCCGTGGTTTACGGCATTCCTGGCTCAAAAGAGCGAGGTTTCTCGATTTTCCCGGTTGTCAGGCTCGTGTTTGATGGCATTTTTAGACGGCGATGAGGGGTCCTGGCTTGTTGATGCACTTCGGATCTCTTTCGCTCCCAAATCGAAGTGCCTCAAACCTTCTCACTGGGGCAGCATTTGGATGTGGTCCGCGATAGCATACGCAATTTTCTGAACGCTTGCTGCCTTTTATATTGCTATTTTTTCCAGGTCAGAAAGAAGCGGAAGATCCACTAATAGTACTATCTACCGTCAAGAGCAGCCTCAACTCTTCAAATCGTTCCACCCCCTGCCAAAATTCGGTATGTCGGTTCCATCATCTCACCTTTCGATGCCTGCTTCACTGGCCTTGTCCTCATCCTTCGAAGATCTCACAATCATGACGCCATCATCAACGCACTCCAGCACGTCATCCCAGCAAGAAGTGCCATCAACGTCCGAAGAGAGAAATCCTACTAGAGCTCCTAGAGATGAATGCAAATGATACTACATTTCCATTTTGATAAAGATGCTCCTGTTGCTGGTGGCATTCATAGAGAATATGCAGATTCAAGACAACTGGCTGTCCAGCGCCAGACACCAACAGCAGGTGGCTAAAGTGCAACGCTGGCAGCAAGAGGTACCTGAAATGCAGCAAACACATCAGGACTGGCGGTCTCACGTGGAGAACAATTACGACGAGTTACAAGAATGCCAATCCAAGCTTGAAGAAGCAGATAGCAGATTGGAGAAGATGACGCTCTCCAGTTCCAGCGTGACCAACCTGACTGGGGCTACCAACCTGATACCCTTGGAAACGTTGAGATTGGCTTTCAAAGAGACTGTGAAATGAAGGTCATGCGCCTCGGGAGAGGTTGAGTCGGTTGAGATTCAAGGCAGTGAGGGCAGCCGTATGATATGGTCATGCAACAGAAGCAAGCATTAGAGGTACTGGGCAGATCTTCGCGGAGTCTCGTGGTGCGGAAACGGGGATAGACGCAAGATTTTTTTGGGAAAATGGTTGCTACGAGAAATTCCGTGACTGAATGGTCATGAGTCCTGAATACTCTGACCGATAGACAGAAACTGCTACAGTCCATTCTGAATATGCATAAGCAACGGTTGTATCGTTGTCGTCGCCGGCTCTCCAACATCCTAGGGTCCGGGCAAAACATTGCAGCAAAATACAGCAGCTAGTATTGGTCGATCACCAGACGACCCTACTACTTCTTGTATAGATGGAGCTTTTACCTAGTATGCGGAGAGCACATCGTGTGATCTACGCAATTAATCAACAGCTAGGTAACTTATAGAAGCCAACTTCTCGGCGAACATTCGATGCCAGGCAGACCTGCAGGGTCTTTTCACTCGAACCACGAGCTCACAGGACGGACAGGAAGCCACTCCTAATCCGGACTCGCTTCCATCGTGATCTCTGAGACCTCGGTCCATGCAAAGAAGGACGTGAAGAGAGAACAATGACGACTTTCGTGCGTACGCAGGGGACGGGACCATATGACGGGCACCTAGCCTTCTACAAGTGTTGAAATTCTCTCGTAACAGTGCAAATCTTGCCATACTTTCAGACGCCACCGGTGCCAGAGCCGTGGCAACTCGGGTACGACCATGGCTCCATGGCTCCTGCTGGATCTCCGAAGCTGTTCGGCTACTGGCAGGACTTGCCTTCTCCGCGACCGATCTCATACTCTTGGGTCATTGCCGGCAAAAATTGACATAAGCGAGCGGTGATCTCGAGCTAGCAGCGGGTATCCTGAGGGTATTGTTGTGTTTCTGCGAGCGGTGGTGAGGATCTCGTCTGCAAAAGGCCCTTCGGTACTCTTTCCAAGAGCGGGGTAGCAATCTAGATTCCAAATCGTCAAGGTACTTATCACATGTGGCTTTGACCATGATTCAGTGGCATCATATAAGCTGACTGCATGCACATTTCCTCTCATTTAATACACCGAATTCGCACCCCCTGCACACACATGTGTTCCCCAAGCCTGGTTTCCGAAGATAGTCGCGTGAAGTACGTGGGGTACTACTAATAATACTTCTGGTAGAGCTAGTAATCTCGCCTAACTTCTAGTATGAGACTTTGACTTTTAACCCTTGTCTAAGATATCTGATTCGTCAAATAAAGGAAAAGATGCTTAGTCAGCGTTTCGCAGCGCATACTAAAATCTATTAAAGATCTTACTTCAACGCTGACAGAAAGTACCTTACACCCGAGGGTACGGGAACCAAGTAAGTGAAGACAAGGGGAAATTATTGCAGGGGGTGCAAAATTCGTCTAATTGCACGGACGTCTTCTTCTTCTTCTTCTTCGAAGAGCCGCACGAACATGGACGTCATGCAGAGGCGGGGTGCATATTTAGTCGGGCCTCGGTCATGAAGGTGGGCAATTTTGTCCAATTGAATATGCAGATTTCTTTCGAACTTTCCATGGCTTTTCCAGACCTCTTGGCAAGTTGGCCGTTAAAAAGACCATTTTACCCGTGCTAGATCCCGTAGGCTTGATGTCCGTCATTGATCACATAGTCCGAACTCAGAGATCTTGACTTCACTTGCCACTCAGGGAAAGTCCTGCAACCCTGCAACTCTGCAACCCTGCAATCCTGCCATCCCGTCTCGAATATTAAGTCCCGAGGGTGTCTCGAAGCACGACCCTTTGTTTGACGCGTGTCTCAAGACCCCACTTCTCTTGGCGGTCATCAGACTTTGCTGGCCGCTGGCAGGGGCATCAAGAAGGATAGAGGATGGGAAGAAGAGGATGATGATGGAACCCATGACGCTGCAGTGACGGCGGGTGTAGTTAAATGATTAAAGATTAAATGAATTAATTTGGGCTTAGCTATGAACCCGGGGGGTCGGGGCAAGGGTCAGGAGATAATGGCAGATGTTAAAAGCTTAGAAGACGGATCATGCGGGTGTAAGCCATGCGCGAACATGGATATGGTCTGGGGCGGGGTACTCTAGTCACTAGTCTTCCCTACCTTTAATTTTCCACAAAAGCGTTGGTCGTTGTCTGGACCAAAATGTCCAAGTACCGGCCGAACTGAGCGACGTTGAGACTCACTTCAAAGGCTCCGGGGTGTAAATACAATATTTTAATCTTTAATATTCATGCAGGAGCCAGCGAGCTCAATCAATGCGCCGTCTCATCATTCTCGCATAAGTACGTAGGTACATCCAATATCAAAAGATTGCTATAAAGAGCTCGACCGATGCCCATTCATCTGTTGCATCCCCATCCATTGCCCTTTCTCACTTCCATTTACACATTGACCATTGTTAGCTGCACGTAGATACCGCCCCCCATCATGTGGCTTGCGCCTTTCTTCCTGCTAGCGACGAGCTTCGTCCAACCTTCAATACAACAAGATGGGAACACTTCAACCACATACCCCGGTACAACATATCCCGACGCCGTCTCTCCCAATCCCGCAGCTTCGGCTGATGCCACATTCTCACCACCACACTACCCTTCGCCATGGGGATCAGGCGCTGGAGATTGGGCGGGTGCCTATGCCAAGGCTACCGCTTTCGTCACCCAACTCACCTTGATGGAGAAGATCAACCTGACTACTGGTGTTGGGTATGTACAATACGCCGAGCAAAGGATCATGTCCGAATCCTAACGAGAAGATAGGTGGCAAAGTGAGCGTTGTGTCGGTCAAACCGGAGCTATACCTCGACTTGGATTCCGAAGCTTGTGCCTGCAAGACTCTCCGGTTGGGGTCAGATACGGTACGTATCTTGCATGCTAGGCATTCATCATGGCCCTGCTGACGGTGAGAAAAGCGGATTTCAGCTCTGTCTTCCCCGCCGGTGTCAACGTGGCCGCAACCTTCGATCGAGGTATCGCATATGCTCGAGGGCAGGCAATGGGCGCTGAACACCAGATGAAAGGCTCAGACGTCCAGCTTGGACCTGTCGCTGGTCCCCTCGGCCGTTCACCGGAAGCGGGGCGGAATTGGGAAGGTTTCAGGTGGGATGGTACACTGTAATGCTGCAGGGCTTGGCTGAAATTCCCATCCAGTCCCGATCCTGCCTTGACCGGCGTCCTGTTCGCCCAGACTATCCAGGGTATCCAGAGCTCTGGTGTCATTGCCTGTGCCAAACACTTCATCGGCAACGAGCAGGAGCATTTTCGTCAAAGCCCCGAAGCTGCTGGCTTTGGCTTCAACATCAGTGATAGCATTAGCGCAAACATCGACGACGCCACCTTGCATGAGCTCTATCTATGGTAAATCTCTCGTGGACACCCGGGACATACCCTCATGCTAATTCCTCCAGGCCATTTGCGGACGCGGTCAGAGCCGGTGTTGGTTCCGTCATGTGCTCTTACCAACAAGTCAACAACAGCTATGCCTGCCAGAATAGTTACATTCTCAACTACCTCCTGAAAGGCGAGCTGGGCTTCCAAGGATTCATCGTGAGCGATTGGGCGGCGCAGCACTCCGGTGTCAGTTCTGCAATTGCAGGCCTTGATATGTCAATGCCTGGCGACACTGTCTTCAATAGCGACCATTCATACTGGGGAGCGAACTTGACCGTTGCCATCCTCAATGGCACAGTACCGCAATGGCGTCTCGATGATATGGTCACCCGAATCATGGCTGCTTGGTACTACGTAGGTCGTGATACCACGTCGATTCCCATCAATTTCGACTCCTGGACCACCGACACCTATGGCAACGAATTCTTTTACGCCAAAATGGGCTACGGTTTGATCAATGAGCATGTCGATGTGCGTCAAGAGCACGGCAATCTCATCCGCGAGATTGGCTCCGCCAGCACTGTCCTTCTTAAGAACACCGGAAACACGTTGCCCTTGACAGGAGAAGAGAAGTTCACTGCGGTCTTTGGAGACGACGCTGGTGATAATCCTTTGGGTCCCAACGGGTGCCCCGATCGAGGCTGTGACAACGGTACTCTCGCCATGGCTTGGGGTTCCGGAACTGCTAACTTTCCATATCTTGTAACGCCCGAGACTGCCATTCAGAATGAGGTTGTAGGGAATAACGGCGTGTTCCAATCGATTACCAACAACTTTGCTGCGGGGCAGATCCAAGCGCTTGCAGGTCAAGCCAGCGTTGCCATCGTGTTCGCCAACGCCGACAGCGGTGAGGGATACCTCGACATTGATGGCAACATTGGCGATCGCAACAATCTCACTCTGTGGGACAATGGGGACGACCTCGTGACCAGCGTCTCCGCTCTTTGCAACAACACAATCCTAGTCATTCACTCAACAGGCCCAGTACTCATCGGCAACTATTCGACGAACCCAAATATTACCGCCATCCTCTGGGCTGGAATTCCCGGCGAACAGTCTGGGAATTCTATTGCAGATGTTCTCTACGGCCGTGTCAACCCATCCGCCAAGCTTCCTTTCACGATGGCTAAGACTCGCGAAGACTACGGGACCGATATCCTCTATATTCCAAACGAGGGTACAGGCGCTCCTCAAACGAACTTCACTGAAGGTGTCTTCATCGACTATCGTTCTTTAGATCGAACCAATACCACTCCAGTCTACGAATTTGGATTTGGCCTGAGCTACACCAAGTTCTCTTACTCGAACCTGCAGATCAAGAATATGCGTAGCATCAGCGTGTACACCCCTTCGACAGGCTTGACTACTGCGGCACCAACGCTTGGCAGCATCTCCAACGATTCAGCCGATTACCTATTTCCTTCCAACATGACTCGGATTCCATACTACATCTACCCATACTTGAACTACACTGATCTTGCAACTGCGGCAAACACAACCGGCTACGGCGACAATAGCTTCGTGAACGCTGGCTCACAGGATGGTTCCCCACAGCCACTGATTGCAGCAGGGGGTGCACCAGGCGGCAATCCAGGGTTATACGACGTGCTCTACGAGGTTACGGCTACTATCGCCAATACCGGCAGCCTGGGAGGCGCCGAAGTGCCACAGCTGTACGTCTCACTCGGCGGACCCTACGATCCTAAGGTTGTACTGCGGGGATTTGAGAAGCTGTCAATTCAGCCAAATATGAGCACAACGTTCACCGCGGATATCACTCGTCGCGATATCTCCAATTGGGACACCGTGTCCCAGGACTGGTTCATCTCGAATTACACTAAGACGGTGTATGTGGGAAGCTCGTCGAGGACTCTGCTACTGTCGGCGATTCTGTCATGATCGAGAACCAGTTCCTGCGAAGTCAAAACGGAAGCTTGAAAGTAATTGTGGTAATGATTATGAAAGTTGGGGATGAAGCAAGCGTATCCAAAGCATATACATCCATGGTGTTCGAAAGCTCTTGAGCACTTCTTAACCACGGAGCCGGACTGAACCGCTAGGAAAGTTAGATGCGTCAAGAGGCAATGACTTCAACATTCTGTCGGACCTTGCTCGCTGTAAATAGGAACAAATAAACCTCAGGGCCGAAAACCCCGTATCTCTATATATTGTTGTACCCTCTGTCAAACCCTGAGTTGTGCTACACCCTTTTTCACAAGCCCCCCAAGCTTCGACCACCGAACCACGTCCCCCCTTTCCCATCTCCACCATTCCTTCCTTTCCCCCTCCCTTTCCCGACCGCCCCTCAGCCGATCCGCCTACCTACAATCCAGCCCATCTCGATGAGTCAGTCCAACCCGGAAACCCATCGACTCCTCTCCGCTCAGATCAGTCGAAGAATACCCATCGCAAACTAATCCTCAACGCATGAGAAAAAAAAGCTCCCTGACACACATGCCGAGGACTGTCGAAGATATAACCGTCACCGCTATCCGGTCTCTTTTCGCAACTTCCCACTCCGGGGGGGGGGGGAGTTTATTCATTTGTTCGGAGGTTGCGATTTCGCCCCCGATGGATGGATGGATGGATGCATGGATGGCGTGACCAGTTTTCCCCGTTTTGATCCGGTCGTCGTTGGAAGGGGGTGGGTTTGGGAGGTTAGCGGGAGGGGGAGGGGGAGTTAGGCGGTGGATTGTGTTTATACTTTTGTTTGTGTTTGTGTTTGTGTTTGTGTTTGTGTTTGTGTTTGTGTTTGGAGGCCGTGGGGACGGACGGACCCGTCGAAGGTTCATGCGTACGGCCGGGTTGACCCTCTTTTTGTTTGAGATCGTCGAGCGCTGCTGCGTCTGACGCTACGCCACGCATTTTTTTTGCTGCTTCTGCGGTCTGCGGTCTGAGGGGTTGGCCGGTGGAGAGGGGGTGGGAGTGGGAGTGGGGCGGTGCGGGCGGTCGGCGGTTTGAGTTGGTAATGTGGTGATCTACCTTTGGCCGCTGTTTCTGCTTCCGGGTGGTAAGAGGGCGCTTTTGACTTTTGACAATCGACGTGCTGAGACTTTCTTTTTGGGGGGGGGGTTTGGGTGTTGCGGCGGGGAAGTTCTGGGGTTTTACTTGCTCGGGTTCCGCTTTGTCGACGACGACGTCCGGGCGAGCTGTGATGGAACCTGGCAGTTAGTCTGGGGGGTTGGAGTACCATATTCGCTCAAAGTTTCGGCTTCACACCCGGACCGGATGTCATTCATGCTTCAGCTTGAGCCGTATAAACACCCCTTCGTCGATGTGGAGCTCGTCGACATTCAAGGCATCCGTACCGCTTCGACCGCCACTTCTTTTCACGCCTCGCCCGCACCATGCCCCGGATCCGCTCCAACCCGCGAACTCATCCCCATCGCCGCCATTTCCCGCACCCGGCCTGCCGAAGACCACGACGACGCGGCGGGAGACGAATCGACCCCCTTTCCTCCCCTCCCGACAACTCGCCGGCCATCCCATCGTCCGTCCCGAGAACCATCCACGCGATCACAGCATCAGCATTATCCTTCTCCACCCTCGCGCCTCGGATCCCTATTCGCTCGCCAAGCCGGTCCCGTGTCCTCCCATCTGCCGTGGTCGACCAAGGAGGATTTGAACGGGGTCGTTGCGTCGGTGGGTCCGGAACGACGTGTCGTGTCCTCGTCGTAGTGCTTTTCGGTATTCGTTCTCATCCTCATCCTCATAAACAGGACACCCTTGTCCCTCCTCTCCTCGGCGTACAATCTTCGGCCGCCGGCGGCTCCTCTCGCGATCAAGCCACTCGTCGACATCGTGATTGCGTTCTTCGCGGATCACTTATGGCGTGGGCGGTCTGTCGGGGCTCCTGGACGGACGGGGTGGGCGGTGTTCCTGCGCCGGAGGTGGTGACTTCGCCGTGTGTCGGCGCGGAGCGTGGCCGGTGGAAGTTTTTGCGGGTGTGGCGGTGGGGGCGAGCGTTGTTTTCGGGTGGGTCGTTGCCTCCTTTGAAACCGGCCGAGTGGAACGCTGGGTATCCGGATTTGGGAAAGAAGCCGGTGCTGAATGGATTTTTTTTGGCGCAGTGTTGTCCATCTTGCGCTGTTCGGTGTGGGATGTCGCGTCGCTTACGGCTCGGGGGTGGGGACGCTGCTCCCCGTGGCGGTTACCGGCTGGACGGCTCAAGTTCGAGGTTTCGACTTTCGATCCAGTTCCTCCGGGAGCCGGGGGGTGGGGCGAGGGAGGGGAATGGCTGAGTGCTGCTGGCGTACGGGTGGAGATGGGCTTCGAGCCGGGGGAAATGGGGGGCTAGGGAGTTGTCAGTGCTGATTGTCGTTGTGGTGACTGGGGGTCGATGTCGAGCGCGTTTTGGGATTTTGAGGAGACTTGGACGCGAGTAGAGTAGCAGTGGGGAATGAAATGGTAGCAAATTTGTAATGAGTGGCAGGAATGGCATAATGGCCGGGTGTCGAGGGAGAAGGCTGTTGACCTCTTATTCAGTGACATTGCAATGTTCTAGGAGTGGAGACGTTGGAATTCTGTAAGAGCACATGCAATAAGAAGAGCCAGTGGACTTTGTCCGTGCCCGAGTTGCTGGATTATACACCAGGCATGCCTATGATGTCCCTCATGGCCGGCAACGCTCGGGGGAGGAAATACACGACGAACACGCCTATAAAAGCTGTCAGGAGTCCTGTGAACTAGCAGATGTCAGCAAAATATGTCAACGCGTAAGATAAAGGACCAACATACCTTCTCAAACCAGGTATGAAAATAAGCCGCGGTCATAAGCAACATCCACCAACTCAACCCGGCCACGACCAACGGCGCCCCGATACCAGTCTTCCAATCCCCCTCCTCTCCCTCCCCCTCCCCCTCCCCCAAAGCCCGCCTCTCCGCCCTCACCACGCCCCCATCCCTCCCCCGCAACATCCTCTCCTCCCTCAACCCCTTCGCCCCCACCAACGCCGGCAGCACCTCCAACCCCAAAAACAAACTCCCCAACACCAGAATGAAAACATGCCCGCTGATATCGTGCCCCCCCCTCCACTGGCCCCCCACCGCCTTGCAAGCCTGGCCCGTCACAAACTCCCCCGCGCCCCCCGTCCCCTCCATCGCCCCCGCCCACTGGCACGCCCCGCCCGTGACCCGGAACCCGCGGTCCACCAGCCCGGGCCCGAAGAACCACTGCGTCACCGCGCCCCACCACAGCGTCACGAGCCCCCAGCGCAGCGCGCCCCGCAGCCGCCGCGGCGTCAGCGCCCACGGCCCCGGCCCCGGCCCCGTCGACGGGTGCAGCGCGAGGAAGGGCACGAAGGCGAGCGTGACCCAGAACCAGGCCACCTTGACGAAGAGGACGTTGAAGAGGTTGCCCTTGCGCGCGAAGTAGCTGGGCGCGGCGCCGGCCGGGTGCGACTGCGTGACGGGGTCGTAGGGGGCGGAGCGCGCGCTGGGGTCGAGGAGGGAGAAGAGGGAGCCGAGGAGGAGGGTCGAGGGGTAGAGGGAGAGGAGGAGCGTCTCGAGCGGGGTGGGGAGGAGGGATGCGAGGTAGCTGGATGGGTGGTGGTGGTGTTGTGGTTGTGGTTGTTGTCGCTTTGGACCCGTTGATGGGGGTTGCTTGCGCGTGCTGCCGTTGCGCCTGATGGGCGTGGACGGAGAGGAGGCCATTGGGAGTTTTCGATGTTGTGATCTTAGTGGTCTGGCTGAAGATGCGCAAGAAGTGTAGGTACCATGGCGAAATTTGTTATTTATGAGTGTCAAAAGAATTTTGCCGCGTGCAGGCAACTCACTTGGCCTCTTTTGGCGCTAGGCTTCGTCCGTCGTTCGCTACGTATTTTCTTGATATTGGCACTGAATGCGTCTTTCCGCTTTCAAGCATACTAAGGACTCACTCGTCATGTAGGATATGTCTCACTCCTAAATCGCGGAGAATAATTTGGCAAAAGATGATTTCGCCAAAATGTAGGCCGTGGCCCTCCCAAGAAGTTGACCCATACCAGACCTGAACATCTGGCTCGTGCAGAAACCCGGGCATAAAGCCTCTTCTTCGCATAGTAAATGTCGTAAAAATTACCTCACGGTATCGTGCCCATAGCCAGCCCAATGTCTCAAGTCCCTTTCAACCTCCCCCATTCAGGTCGAGTCTCCACACCATCGTCCCCGACAACCTTGCCCCTGTCCCATTCTCTTCCTTCGCCCCGTCCCTTCCACTTGACATCCTCCTCCCTCTTCTCTCCGCCCGTCTCCCACTTCTTCACCTCCTCTTCCGTAAAGCCCGCAGACTTCAGCCGCTCAGCCCCTAGCTTTTGCCAACGCTGGCGATCCCGGATCGCTTCCAATGCCTCGTCCCAATCATCGTCCATTTCCGGATCCGGGTGAACGTCGACCGATGGATCATAGTTTGAAGAGAAGTGTGAGTCCATTGCGGAGGAAGACGAGAAGTTGCCGCGGCCGCGTGCCTGAACTTTGGGAGCCGGAGGTGGGGGTGGTGGGCCTATGATGGCATCTAGGGGATCAGAGTCTGAGCCTGGAGACGTGGCTCGCTTTTCCCCATTCGCGTCACCATTGGCTAGAGAGCTGCGTGGTGCTTGATCCCCGATCACTCTCCATGCAGAGCTATCGCGCCTATTGCTGTCTGTGGTAGCGGATGAGGAGTCTCTGGCTGGGCGGTGTGAGCGATGGTGACGCTGACGATTATTTCCGTCTGATCGTGGTGAAGGTGGTTGCCGTGACCTGCTTCGCCTTCGATTCTTCGTGCTGCGCCGGTCGTGCTCATACAGCTCATTGTCATCGGGTCGAGGGTGGGTTCGATGGTGATGCCGATGCCGGCGTTTGTGATGTCGTTCCTCCTCGTCATCCTCGCTACCATAGCGGTCATCGAGGTGCTTGCGGCTGGATGCGTTGCTTCGATAAACTTCACCTTTATCTCGCCCCGAATGTCTGCCTTCAAGGTGTCGCCGTAGATCACGCTCTCCTTCATCTTCACCACTAGTCCGCCGTCGCTTTGAACGGTGATGACCTTCGCTGTTCAGTCGAATACTGGAGTCTCTGGGGCTTGATATCCGTTTGTCGCTATCACGTAAATCTCGAAGACGTGCCCGCGATTCTTCGACTTCCTTGGTCCGTAAAGCAGCATTGTGATTGTTGGTTTCTCTGATGATGTTCTTCAGGAACCTTGTGTTGGGCTTGGGTGCATTGAAAGTTGATCTGTATAGATTAGCCATCTCACACAACATTTTACATTAACAGAAGCTCGCCTCCGGGGTAGATGCTCTTGTAGACCGTAAGCTGAGTACTTCGCATTGCTGGCCTTTGCATCTTTGGCGAGGAGCTGGGCGACATAGTCATCCGGCAAGGGCTCTGAGCCTGACATGGTAGACTTGAAGAATGGAAAGAAGAATTGAAGGGGAGGATGCCTCCATAAGCATTAATCAAGACATGCTATCGACAATGCGATGAAGTGAAGCCAAGGACAAATGGTTGGCTAATCACAAAATCTGCATGTCTTTCGCATGCATGTGAAATGGAGTGCATGTGACGCTACCAATATGCCAAGACATTGCTGATAAGATAAGATTAGATTAGATCTAGCTTGATCTGGACGCCAGACGAACGGTAAACAAAGGCCGAAAACTCTCCTTCCCGTGGTAACTTGCATCTCCTCCAGGGCATACGCAAGATGGCAGATCCTCAACGTGTCGAAAATGTTTTACAAGGGATTCGCTCTTTGCAGGATATCTCCCTCTCTATCATTCGCCTTAGCGAACCCATCTCCGCTACTGCTACTTCCCACCGCACATCTGATGTCTCCACCTCCGCTTTCGATAACCCGTCACCGGAATCTCTAGAAGCTGACCTGAGGCACTACAAGGTACACACTTTCCATTTCCCCGACTACACACAAAATTGAATCGAACGCGCACAGGAGCTCTTCTCAAAACTCCGCTTCTCCTACCTCGAACAAGTAACCAAAGAGAAATTCCTCCGCGCCATCGTCGGCGACCCTCCCCAAATAGTCGAGCATACTGAGAACATCGAACTCGAAAGCCAGCTGGCGGAGATCAAAGGCGTGCTGAAAGCGCAGAAGGAACATGTAGGCGACATGGTCAAGGAGTTGGACGCGCGAGGAAGGGATTTGAGCAGGCGCTATGAGACCATCTCATTGCAGACGACGCTGCTATCGTCGCTGCCCCCGCAAATTGAGGATTTGATTCAGACGTTGGCGAGACTGAGAAAGCAGAATCGATCGGCAGATACGGACGAGGCGAATCCAGCGCTTGCTATGCCGTTGCCGGCGACGCTGGAGTTGCTGGACGAGAGGCAGGCTAGTCTGGACGAAGTGAATGTACAGCTCAAGGCTCTACAGCAGGCGCTACCTAGACAGACGAGAACGTTGGAGAACGAGGAAAGGGAACTGCAAAAGCTGGAGCTGGAGAGAGACCGGGCTGTGGGACTTGCAAGGGAGGCGGTCGAGAGGAAGCAGGAAGGTGGTGGTGCGGACGAGTTGGAGAGGAAGGGAAGGTGGTTGAGAGGGGTGGAGACTGGTTTGAGAGAAATGCTAGAGATTGGCGCTTAGGATAGTGTGTTCAATGGGTATTGGTGTTCTAAGGCCTCGTGGACGTTGTGCTGCTCTCTGGTTGAGATTGATTCCCCAAATCGTAAACTCGATTGAGCTGCCTAAAGACGCTTTGTATATTCAATGCCATTCGCTTCGTGCCTCGAGCTGGCTAGGATCCTCATTGCTGTCCTGTCGGACACCAAGAGATCATCTCTGCCACGCCACGCTCTTTCAGATGCAGTCGAAGTACATCAACCCCTGTTCATATCAAAGTATATCAACGACCGGCTAGCGCTCCCTATCTCCCAGCCGGCTTGCATCTCACTTCAGCTCCAACCCCTGCATCCAACCCCTGCTCGTCCTAATCACCGCATCGACCATCATCTCAAACACATCCTTATTCCTCCAAGGCACCGCGATTGGCCGAGAGACTCCGTCAACGGCGACAGTGACAGCCGCCATTTTTTGAATGCTGTCCGCCCCTACCCAAAGCTTCCCCACGCCGCAATAGCCTCGTCGAAGAACGAGGTCACTGTGTTACGTTGGTTGGGGGGTTTGGAGATGGCGCCGTTCCTCTCGTCAGCCACGAGGAAACGGAATATGACGTCGCCATATGGCTCTGAAAGAGAACAATTCGAATGAAGAGCCCACTACTGGTGCAGTGGCCATACAAATAGTACTCGCCATGGCCACCTGTCTCCCTACTATCGCATATCGCATAATGATGGAACGGTTGATCAAACAACCACCAACGCTATGGCCTCATAATGGACCCACTAACCCACAGTCCCACTGTTGCGACCATTGGGAACGGGCTCGGACCAGGATAAGGGAGTCGCGGTAGCGGCTGTTGCTGAGGGGATTAGCAGTTTTGAAGTCGCCATTCCCGGCTCGTGGTATTCTATTTCATAGGCCTCCGAGCAGGACACGGCCTCAAATCGCTCTGAGGGCTTTCGTCGTTGGCATTCGGGTGTAGTAAATTGAATCCTTCGTTTTGCGTGAAAACATTGAATATTGAGAACAGAGTATCTCATGGCAATTGCAATCCAGATATTGAAGCCACAGCGATGTGACCTTCCCTGCAAATCCTCCTCTATCCATGACCAAGTCCACCAGACTGCTTCGACATCAGTCATATACTTCAGCATCGACCCTTGTCCCCGTCTCAGGATCGTATTCAATGCCGCCATCCCTCAATCTCTTGATCTGCGGCTGGCTCAGGGGAATGCGCTCGAAGTTCTGTGGCAGGACCCTACCTGCCCTGATTGCCTAGTCAGCTTAACGAAAAGATAATTGAACTTGTATACGTACTTGAGATAATCCATCTTCATGTTTCGAGCCTTGTCCTTGAGCGCGACCTGATCTCGCGCTTCTAGGACGTAGCCTTGCTCCGAATCTTGTTCCTTAAGGAGCTTCCAACTGGTCCCATGCTCAGTAATTAAGTAGTAGAGCATATCCGTCTCAGCGCCGGTCCACGCGCTACGTCTTTGGGGCAGCTTTGTCACCACTGCCATCTTCTGTTTTGCTGATTTATTCACTCTCACGTATTCATCATAGGCTTGAGAAAGCGGCACTTGGGTCTCTTGCTCGTCACGTGCGAAATCTGCGCTGCCATCTAAGGTGTGTCGATCAATGGCCTCTTGGACGCGGACCTTCTTCGGTGATTGGCGTTGAAGCCTGGCGGGCTCAGACGCAGGTCGTTTGGTTGCAGGTTTCAAACGACGCTGCATCGCAGCATTGGAAGACTCTGCCTGGACCTGAAAGCCTTCATCCGCGCTGATCTCACTCTGTTCGTCATTGGGATCCGAGTCTGGCCAGTCAACGGGAGAAACCTTCTCACCAAGCGGGTCTCGATCGTAGATACTACGCTTCTTAGCAGTCTTAGTGTGTTGCGATCCTGGTATCTCGGCAACGTTCTCCTTGTTGCTTTCAGCTTCCCGTTGCGTTCGATACGCATCCGACGCTTGGGCATTTCTTCTAATGGCGATGTCTTCCTCTTCGTTGTCTTCAGAGCGCCAGTTGTCGTCTTGACCTGCCGACGGCGCTTGCCCGTTTGGAACATTGGCTGGGGCGGGAGAAGGAATGACTTGCTCGTTATAATTTCGTTGGGGAATTAATGCTCGCATGACCGGCCCTGCTGTGGACGCCACCTGAATATCTGGAGCTGTACCCTGGTTTTGCGTCGACGAAATCTGTTCTGTAGCCTTTGTGACTTTCCGGTCTGCTTCTCTTTGTTTTAGATAAGCGGCGGCGCTCTTAACTTTGTTTGAGTCGGCGCTACGATAGAATGTCAGCATATAGAGGCTTCCTAACTTCCAGGGTTGGAATGTATCTACTAACCTGAATTGCGCCAAATTTAGTTCGTCAGCTTTCGCAGGTCTGGTTGAAGTATCCTGCAGCTCCGAGGTGGCACGCGATTCGGAAGGCGTATCATATTCCAACCGTACTTCCGAGCCGTCGCTCTCGCTATCAGCACCGTCACTTTCCAGTGACTGCCCAAGTCTGCCGCTCTGAATTATATCGATGAGCCCTTGGCAAATAGCCTGAGCACCACCATAAGTAGTCGTCTGGATCTCAATTTCGGTGAGGCGTTGACCAGCCCATGCGACCAGTTGTCGGGCGAAGGTAGTCCAGGGAAACTTCGTTCGGAGAGACTCAATACCGGACGACTGGCCGTCGGAAGACGTTGAGACGCTGGCTCCAAAAGCTTCCCGCAGTTGTTCTACGCGTCCTAGGATTGTGTCCTTGAACCCCCTTCTCAGCTCATCAGTCCGCAATCCGGCCACGGCCCATCCCTTTAAATTGTTCGTATCGTAGAATAACTGAAGCAGTGCGGTGTCCGGGTCGAAATTGATTTTCTCGACATGACGGGCAAGTAGCATGATGGCTTCTTGAGTGCGAACCTGCAGTGCCACTTGAAACGTTGCATCAGTTAAGGCGCTGCACTCAGGTGTCAAACTTTCAGGACGCCCAAGCCCCTGTGCGAAAGGTCGGGGAAAGGTGCCAGCAATGTCTTCAAGGAATTGATCATTCTGATCTCGTCCCACAATTGTCAACATTCGCGACACCAGGAGTGCAAGGTTTGCCTTTTGCAACAATGCGTCCGGACGCCATGAGGCAGTCTGTTCGTCTATGGGACCAGCCTTTCTTCCCAATAGTCTCCTCAACGTCTCTCCCACATTGATGTACGAGTCGCTTCCGTACTCTTTTCGTTGCCTTTCGAATATGTCACTCAACCGCTGGAGCTTCTTGTTTTCACGAGTATCCTTCTTCTGTAATTGTGCCATGGTCCTAGAAACTGAGGTTTCGGATATTTCGGTGGGAATCACAAAGCTTAACAATTTATCTGAAGCATCCGAAAGATCTGGAAGTGTATCTGACATGTCTTCCGGGCTTATTTCTGTGAGCTCCTGTGCAGGAAGAGAGATCCTTGCGGTAGTTCCAGAGAAAGCAGATAGACTCCCAGGGGACTTAAAATTTTGTTGAGCTGGTTGCTGGTCCGCTCCAGCATCCTCTACATTCTCACCTGCGCCACCATCTTCCGCAGTCTCGAGGTCTGGATAGACGACACTCGGGTCTTCTGCTACCATGGAAAGATCTAAGAGAGGTCAGTTTGTAATCGGTGCAAAATTGTCCCAGAATTGTGAGGACAGAGATCCTAATCTGTAGTATGGACTTCCCTACCTTGCTGAGCTCGAGCGTGTTTTGCAATCCTTCCCTTGCGACTCTTTGAGCCACTTTGCCCAACAGCGCCGTTTGTGCCATCTGGAGTTGCTTGCTTTGCGCCCCTCCGTGCCTTCGAGCCAGACCTCCCA